TGAAATTGTCTCGCCGCATTGTGGCTGACTGCGGTTTTAGCGGAATAACTCTTGAAGGCATTATTCGACGTCCATGATTTTTGGCAGGCAGATTACCGTTGTAGAGGCCAATGCCAAGTGCAAGTTTGGGCTTCGTGGGGGGTCCGTACGTCACTTCAGTGGACTTTTTTTGTGTTTGTGGCTTGTTAGCAAAATAACTCGAGTACATTTTAACAGATGTTCATGATTTTTGGTAGGCAACCTACCATTGTAGAGGCCAAGGTCAAGTTCGAAAACGGGCCTCGTGGGGGGTCCCTATGTCACTGCAGTGGACCTTTTGTGTTAGATATATAATGTACTACCCCCACCAACGTCTGCATTGATTCACATGGGGACAGCTGTCCTCGCATGCATCTGGTATCAATTGCTTACAATTGAGGGGCTGTCCTATAAATACTGGGGCGGGGGAGGAAAAAGGTGGACATGCGTCAGGCAGGTCATTCCCTAAATTGTAAGGCCAGACCAAGTAATTTTTATGGATGACGTCCACTGAGATGCAAAAGTGCGATAAAATACATGAAGGCCAAAAAACCTGATTACTAGTAATATGCACAGATTTGGAACATACTAACTGTGGAAATACAAAGGTTAGGATGCAAATTGAATAAAAGAACATAGTGTAACAACAAACGAAAACAGCAATAAATCTCCCCCTGTTCTGATTCTTTCCTTTCATCACATCTTCTCATTACATTTTGCGACACTGTCGTAGAATAAAAAAAAAGGAAAAAGGGAGTACAGAGATTCTAGCTTTTGTACTCTAGACCAAATTGATTTCTAGTATTAAAAAACGTTCCTTTATCTAGAACAATGTCCCTCTGACGAAGGCATGAGATCCCCGACCTCTAGTTCATTCTGATAAGAGGCCACGGGCCAGTGCCTGAAGCAAATGATAAACTAGAGGTCGGAGATCTCATGTCTTCGTCAGAGGTACGTCGTTCTAGAGAAATTAACATGCGTATTCTTCAATCTTTTTAATAATCAATTTGGTCTAAAGAACAAAAGAATCTCTGTACTATTTTTATGGTACAGAACACCCTGAAACGGTTTGCCGCAGATTATACAGATGCGTCGTCACCCGTGTTAGCCCCCCCCCTACGTTATTTGAGTTTGGACTGTTACTGGAAAAAAAACGTTCAAGAAATTCTTACTGTGTTGAAAGTGTCACGACAGCGCCGCAAAATATGATAAGAGAAGATGTTATAAAGGAAAGAATCAGAACAGGGTGACTACTGCTGTTTTGTTAATTTGTCTTTATGACAAATAGAAGACTTGTTTCTTGTGTTCTTTGTGTCCTAACATTTGTACTTCTACAGTTAGTATATTCCAAATCTAGGCATCTCGTTTTTCGGCCCTTCGTGTTTTTATTGCGCGCTTGCCTTAAATTTAAGGTAATTAGATTTAAGGTCTCCAGTGGACATCATCCATAGCAATTACTTGGTGTGGCCGTAGAAAATAACCTGACATATGTCCAACCTATCCTCCCCCTGCTGAAGTTATAGTACAATCCCTCAATGTGACGTAATTTGATCCCATCCCATTATGGGGTTCCCCGGCTATATCCAGCTGTCGGCTGTCTCCAAGCAGATGTAGGTGGGGGATTTCTAAACACAAAAGGTCCTATTACGGGGACATAACGACCTCCACGACTCTCATCTTTGAACTCAATCTTGGAGACCACCACAGTAACATGCCTATCAAATTTCATTAACTTCTATCCACACATACAAAAGTTATCCTGCTCACAAGAAAAATTAACAAAATGCCCCCTGTAGTCACAACGAAACCCCCCACGAAGCTCAGTAACGAACTTAACCTTGGTCCTGACAATAGTAAGCACCACACCAAGAATTATAATCAACATTTTACAAATACTTGAGTTATCTTGCTAACAAGCCACAAACACAGAAGGTGCACTAACGTGACGCACGGACCCCCCACGAAGCCAAAACTTGTACTTGACTTCGGCCTTAACAGCGGTAATCTGCCTGCCAAAAATCATGGACGTCGAATCATGCCTTCCAGAGTTATATCGCAAAATCCGCAGTTCCCCACACTCCGGCGAGACAATTTCATAGTCCTTCTGACGAAGACAATAACTAACACAACCAGAATGGATTTCATGAATTTAAAGCACAAATTCTACAGCAATCGTGGTTTTAATCTGACCACCGGGCAGAGGTCTTCCCGCAATGTTGTTTGGGAAGCATTTGTCAACCATGACCCCTGACCTCCGCGACCTTTCTTTTCCAAAGGTCATGATTGAACCTGATGACCTTCGCCATTGTAGAAATTCAATGGAAATCTATTTTATATTGGCGTCAGTTCAACAATGGATACACACACACACTATTTGCAACAAAATATCGATGTAAAATTTGTTCTAATGTACAGACAGCAAAAACGAACGTTACTATTAATAATGAACGTTACTGTTCAAAATGAACGTTACTATTCAAAATGAACGTTACTGTTCAAAGTGAACGTTACTGTTCAAAATGAACGTTACTGTTCAAAATGAACGTTACTGTTCAAAATGAACGGTACTGTTCGAAATGAATGTTAACGTTACTGTCCAAAATGAACGTTACTGTTCAAAATGAACGACGTCACTGTTCAGAGTTCGTTTCTGTTACTTGTCTACTTTTGTACTAGTTAACGTATTTTCACATGCTCTTAACATACATTTGCATTTTCCCATGCCCTAAGCAATATATTTCAGAACTAGTCTTTGTAATGACAAATTCACCAGTCAGAAGCTTAGTAGTTTATGAATGCTCCTGATGTGACACTTGTGATCACCATGCGTGGCCTTGGCTAGTCTGTCCCAGACCTTGTCCTGTCAAATTGTCCACGAAATTATATACGTTTATGTCATGCATATTTCATAGAGCTGATGAAATTACAAGGTTCGTCTGCCGCTTACCAGCTGCGTAACATTGTGCCATTTGTCCCAACTCGTTTCGTTTTGAGCTGCACACATGTGCCAAGATTCTGTAACCTTAACCTTCAGGCTGCTAAGGTACCTTTTGGTACCAAATTTGTAATGGTTATATCGTAAGACAGCAGAGAGAGGGTAAAAAAAAAGAGTTCCACGATCTCATACCTTCGCCAAATAATGTTAACCTTTCCGGTGAACGAATTATACATTTTTACTGATTTGTATGAATCATATCAGTAAATCATATTCTCCAACCAATGACAGTCTTATCGTAAGATGTTATGCTGTTCACAGACAGACAAACGCTACTGAAACCATAACCTTCTTGGTAAAGGTAAAAATGATGATAAAAAATGAAATTGAAGCAAACGGCAAATTTCTAAGCCCCCTCCCCATGACACATGGGGACTATGAGTAATTTTGAGTCACACTGAAAGCGATACCGTCACGTCGTTAATCGTTCGCCTAAAGCTGGTCATATTCTCTGATTGCTTCCTAATTCACTTAGAAACACCGTCGATTACAACATTAAATTGTCTTTACATTATGTTGGTGACTGGTACAGTCATACACACACATTCACTAAGGGTTGAAGAAAGTTGATAATTATTAAAAAAATAGTTTCTTGCAAATACATTTCCAAGGACTAATTGCAAGTACAAACAACATGTATGAAAAGACGAATACAGTGATATAAGGGACTACGTCCAACGTCAATGAGGTTCAAAAAGATGAACCTCCTTGGTTTAGTTGACATCTTCTTTTGAGGCAGTAGAAGGCGAATTTGCCCACTTCTTCTATGATATGTGGGCGATTTGATTTTAGCTGTAAAATTGTTTTCTCATGGTTAGGAAATATAAGGAACGATGTAGTTGATTCCCCCTCCCTCGTTTGGCTCTATACCAATAAATGTAGAAAGACAATCATCAATCCAGACAAAAATAGTTAAAATCGATTTCCAATCACCATGTATATAGGCCGAAGGGCCAACGCTATCATAATGCTATCACGGTATATCTTCTATATCACCTATGTAATTCTACTATGTAGGTCAGTGATAATGTATGCAACATGCATACCAATATTCCAACATACCCCTACATTGAAAATAGCTATAGCAAATGTACTTAGTTATTACTGTTCTTTCTTAGTTAGAATAGTTTCTTTTGCCTAATCTCCAAGTAGATCATTTGGTGACTGCAAAATAATGTTTTAAAAAGGCCCGATAAAAACGCATAAAAAACGACAAAGAATAAGCTGAAGCCTAAATATTTGGAGAGCATCTTTTGCCATACTTTTAATCGTGTAAGTCAATCATAAAGAGATAACTGTGCTCACGCAAATTTGAATATTCGATTTGCCATATTCTTCAATAATGTCTTGGAAACACCAAATGGTCCTATATTATTTTTTCCCAAAGATAGATTGAGCTCTGAAAAACGGTACAGATAATTTTCTCATACACGCGATGTAAAACTGGCTGACATTTATGACTTTTGCGAAACAATTCCTCTCGTGTGTTTTCGGTCGCTCACTCTTCTACCCCGCACGAAAAGGTCCAATTTGATGCCCGGCTGGGCAACTGTTTTGACAGCTTCCGACGCACCCGGACAATACGTGATTAAATGTACAGATATTATATATGGTATAATTGATAGAGGTCGAAAATGTCTGGAAGGACACGTCACATTCCTATGCATCAACTACAGGCTGTACATGCAACACTGAGAACATCAGCCCCCCTCCCCCTTAGCTTGCAAACTGCGCTTACAAAGAGTCAAAAATGACCTGGGCCAGACGTCATTCACCATGGTAACTCGTTATAGTGTTGGGTTACATAATGTTGCAATTTTATAGCAGGAGGGATTTAGACTCCTGTCGCCATATATATGGATGTGTTTGAGTAGGAATTAACAGAGCAGACCATATGCGAAGGTAAACATTATGCATTTTTCTTTGCAAATGTTACCTTTCTAGTTTATTTATTTGTTTGTTTGTTTGTTTGTTTGTTTGTTTACAGATCGTGCTGGGTGACGCGGCCGGCCCTCCCCCCAGACCCTCCACCCCCGCCAAGAGCCCGCGCTCCGTCACGCAGGAGGACATAACCAGGAAGATGCAGGAGGCCGAGGACAGGAGGAAAGCGCGCCAATCGCAGATCATGGAGAAACTGCAACAGGTGCGACATTTGAACTTTGAACTCTCGAACCCTGACCTATAACCTCTATTCCTTATTATAAGATAACATGAAACAATTGATCTCAAATGGCTTATCAACGGTATGAAAGGTCAATGACCAGAACCAGACGTCTGTCACCATGGTAACTAGTGCTGGGTTACATCATGTTGCAATTTTATAGCAGGAGGGATTTGGACTCCTGTCCCCATATATATGAATGTGTTTGAGTTCTTTTTTTTAACAATGTGAAAGATATTGTCTATTCCACCTTCTCATCCATTTCTTCTTTTCTTTACTTTTTTAGGAGGACCAGAAGCGAGATGAGGTCCTGAAGCGAGCGGCGGAGGTCAAAAAGCAGCAGGGCGACAAAGACGACGAATGATTGACACATTTGTCAGACGACATTTCAGGCATGGCTGTAGCTAGGACGCTAGCATTCAAATTTAGGAAGCTTGTCTCCTTTTAAAAGGTCGCAGTCTATGAAAATGGAATTTTGTGGAAGGGAAAATCACGATTTGAACTGCTGCGAACATTTTTCCTGGCGACAGTCATGCTTGGGAGTGGTAGTCTACAAAATCTGCATCTTTGTATGCTAAATTGTTTGTAACTGTCAATCTTGTAGTTAGGACACATGGGACAATCCCTCAGCTTCGTCTTCTGCAGCAGTCACGTTACGTCATCAGGATCCGTTGATTTGATTGGACGGGTGACATTGATCGCCAAATAAGGCAAAACTTTGTGTTCCATCGCTCGAATCTTTGTGGTTGCCATGGCAAAGAATCTGCTGCAGAAGACGTTCGAGGAATTTTGTTTGACTCGTAGTTGCACGATTTTAAGCCTCGGATACCTGATTGGTCGAGGCGGGTAGGTTCTGACCAATCATAACGCGGCAAACAAAAAGCGTTATATGTCACGACCAAGTCAGCTGCTGTGATTGGTTCAGGAAGTTTTGGTACGGTCGACATTGACCAATAGGAAGAGAGCTCATTTAAGAATGGTCAAATACATGCAAAGACAGGTCAAACATGTTGTGATATTCTTATGACAGTAACTTATATTATCGGCAAAATGTTTGTGCAATTTTATAGTGCACGGTGCAGCAAACAATTGAAATATATACATGTATATGGGAAATTTTAGTTGCAAATAATATATTGATATCACGAATGTAGCATTTGTACATGCGACGCACATGTGTTGGGGACACCTAGCTAAAAGGAGGAATCTGCATAATGTGAAGGAGTGTTTTGTCGAAGCTCAAAAATGAGGTATGGGCTTGGTCTTTTTTGAACGATCGTTACTAATTTTATGTGTCTGTTGACTGATACATTCTGTGGAATTGTATCATTTAAAATGCTAAAAGCGAACGAAAATCACAGATGTTTAAAATGATCCTGAATCAAACATCTACAAGTGGCGGAACAGTACTAGACTGAGAATGGGGACAACCGTTCATTGGTTACAAAAGATCACGTGACGCATAACTGTTTTCATTGGCTGGAGGTTATATGCAATTAGGTAACGTATCGGTCACTATGACGTCATGGGGTCAGTTAGCTAGCGTCGGTGGATGTGTCGTCTGATATCATTGATTTTAGTGGCAAAATTTCCATAAAAATCAGATATTTCAAGCATGACACTACCGCGTTATGTGCATGTATGCAATCTGTAGTGTGGAGGGAATGCTAATATCCATGTAGAAGTGTGGCTGTTGTTCTTGTTGTCTTTTATTGCACTGGGATTTGGTCCCTTAGCGACCAGCAAAACAACAACACTAGAAAGGTAACATTTGCAAATCAAATCCAAAATGTTTACCTTCGCATATGGTCTACTCTGTTAATTCTTACTCAAATACATTCACATATATGGTCAGACAGGAGTCTGAATCCCTCCTACTATAAAATTGCAACATTATGTAACCCAACACCAGTTACCATGGTGAGAGACGTCAACAAATCAGGTCATTGGAGGAAACGTATCAAAAACAATGTTTTCCTTCGGTAAACTTAAAGACAGCGTAAAAACAAGCAAAAAGCAAGCCACAGTCACACCTCTGCTTGGAGATTAGAATGACCACCTTTAGTTTGTTATTCAAAGCCATCATCTCTACTACAAGTGCAATTATGTCTTGTGCCTCTTGTGTGTACGCTGACTGTGCTCTACCCAAGTCGAATGAACGATAGACGGCTCGACTGTGAATCTAAGCCCCCCTCCCCCCAAAAAAACACAGCCAGAAAGGCTTATACTTTCGGCTCAAAACTTCATTCTCCTCTAGTAACAACGATGGCTGAATATAGTAAGATTTAGTCAAATAGGGAGGATAATTTAGGGCGTTTAATGATCACCCTCCTTGCCAATTATTGACCCTATTTTTGCTATTTCTACTATCCATAAACCCCTAGGGAGGCCTTGTGGAGGCTACAAAAACGTCTGAACAAACAATGCTGGTTGGTAGTTTAGTTTAGTACCCCGGATGGTAAGAAGGTGATTGGTCAACATTTGTGACGGTTGTAATCTTGGGAAGGAAAGAAAGGTGTGTTTGTTGTACCGCTGGCTAGCAGTTACATGATGTATCAATACATGTTTTAGACATGTGAAAGAAACAACACAACTGCTTGGGATGTACATGGGTAGCTCTGCTTGAATTTGGTTCTAAATACTGACTAAGAACGCTTGTGAGAATGTCTGAAGTAACCGTGTGTAAAAACTGTGTTGGTGCTTTCTATCTACACAGACATTAGCATGAAAAAATCGTACTATCAGTGTTGGAAACGACTTGACAACAGGAAACTGAACATTTGCTCTAACTCAGTATGGATGACCCACGACTTCCGGACTCGTGACTCCAATATTTGGTCAAAACTATCTGGAAGTCGGTATCGTCCCCCGTCTGTCATTCAAGATGGCGGATTTTGCGAAGGATAAAAATCGGTGTGATACGTTTGACCCATTGCTGACGTCATGGCGTCTCGCGTGACTAAGGTCACGTGTCTGTAACTCTCGCGGGTTCACGTTCGGAAGTGATTGGTCATGAATTATCCTGATGAAAGCGACAATGGTCGTTGAAAATTTGATCCTTGTGTGCGCTTTGTGTTTTACATCGTACTATGACGGGTGTGGAATTGAGTACAATTCGTTTCGACCTTGTACCTGAGCAGGAGTTCAGTTTCCTAAAGATTTTACGACGTTGAGGATTTTACGGCGCTTCTTACAATCTGCTGCGTAAACTTGGCTTGTGGATGTATGTACGTGTGAACTTTGACCTCTTCGTGTCATTCCTGTCTAATAAAAAAAAGCCATTCCGAAAAAAACTGCACTCGTCTGTTCTGATTTATCATTACTTCTATACACGAGTAGGGATTCGTTTTTTCCATGTGTCCTTTGCTTTATTACCTTCCTATACGGTGACGAAGGTGTGCGGTCGCCGAACTCTTGTTTTCCTAATGACAATAATATATCATTTCGTATGTTAACATCATTTGGCGAAGGTATGACATCGTTGAACTCTTGCTCTGTCTAGCTTTGTTTTTATGTGCTTGGAAATATTGCTACTATTGGCATTCCAATGTGAAGACTGCTCTAAAAATGGCAGACAAAATCGACCTAGAATCGGTCGATGCTTCAAACATGGCTTTTAAAGTCAGATCGATCCTACATATATATATGTCACGTACTTTGCAGTAGCAGTAGTGATTGCAGGCCGGGCGTTCGTCAAAGACAACCAATCTATTTCCTTTAAAGACCCGGAGCGCCGAAGGATACCTATTAAGAGCCGTATCACACAAAACAGCCTCTCTGAAAAATCAATACGCGCATGTACGGGGGGTCACCTCTATAGCTCTAGCGGCACAGAATGATACCATAAGCCTTAGGCTTATTACCAGACTCAATTTGTAAAGATCGCGCTGTGTATTCAGTGACTGATCAACGCCTGGATCTAAGACCACCTTAGAATGAAAAATAAACAGCTAGTCGATCAAAATACGATTGCTTTGTGCGTCTGTAGATATCGATTCAAGAACGTGTCAATCTATCAACCATGTAGAAATTTTTTATAACTTTTGGTTAGGGCATGCCATGGATAAAGCAACATAGGGCTAGCCTCTACCTGGCTTCAGAGGCGTCTGGAAAGAGTAGAAATTGGCCAGAGAGAGTCTATTGACGCGGAGTAAAGTTTGTTGTTCTCTAGCCGCATCTGACGCCTGTTAGAGGCTACTTCGGCCTGGTACCCTTTAGAAGGATCGTCCCCCATTCCCACTCTCTCACCTTCCCTTTTCTTATCAATCTCTTCGTTTTTTTTTCTTTTCATGCCTCCTACACTCCCCTTTTTTCAATCTCCAAGCAGACGTTGGGTTTTCCGATTGCCGAGTTTTGGCTGACATACAACCATCTGCTTGGAAATCACACCCCGGGAAATTAGAATATGAAGCCCCTCCCCTCAGAGGCCTAACCAATGGGGGCTCCTAGAGAGCTTGATTTATTGAAGCTAGTTGTTCGTTCAGGCCTCCTTCAGTCAATATTGGCTATGGTAAAATCCTAATTGATATCAGCCTTAGAACTTCGGCTATGACTGAACAGTCTTATACGAGAATGCCACATAGGGTGCATCTGTAAGCTGACTCAGGTCTTTTGCAGAGTTGGGCCATGTTGATTTGATTATATGGATGACATCCTCCGGGAACCCCATAATTGATGCGCGCGTGCGAATAAAAAAAAAGTTTTGCAAAAAAAAAAAGTTGTTTTCATTATGAAATCTACGTGGTCATGAGGGTTGAACAAATGGGACAGAATATGGTTTGGCGAATAATCTAGTCTTCAAGTTCATTTCTTTACAATTTCGTCTTTTTTCGTTTGATTTTGGCATTCTACGACATTGGTATGTTTTTTTTGTAACTTACGGTATATTTTTGCTCATTTTGCAACTGTTTTGTACGATTTACAGTATGGTTGAAAACTTTTTTTTTAAACGGCCGAAAATTCATGCGCGAGCGGATGTCATCCATATAATCAAATCAACATGGCCTTATTTTCGTGTATGGCACTTAAAAACAAGCCCATACCCGTCAGCCACAGCACACAGCCGTGTGGACATTTTACGGACGGTTAGTTCTCTTTCCGCTTACACTCACGCCTGGCTAGAACTGACATCGTGAGAAACAAACTGATCAAAGCGAGCGGGCCTGTAGATCGATCATTCTTGGCTAAACGGGCACTTAGAAGTGCATTTCTACATTTTTGCTTTGCCATTTGTACGGTTTTTGTTTTGTATGCCTACGCCTTTACTTTCTTTTTCCATTGGACAGTGGCAAAGTACTAACCTGGGGTGCTATTCTAGTTAATTCGCCGGGTCTAGACAATGAAAAGGGCTACTTTGTAAGAGGAATCTACCATCAGCATCAGGGCAACCTACCATCACTCAAACAAAGACGGTGGACGATATAGACTTCCTGACACTTTTGACCAATTGCTGACGTCAAGTGTCCTCGATGTCACGTGATCCAGGTGATTTGTCACTTGTTAGACTGCAGTAGTACAGTCTAGGCAGACAAGTTTTTCATTCAGTTCTAATTCTATGTCCTTGTCTTATATTTCAATGTCTTAGCGTTTTAAATAAAGGTGGATGAGGGACAATGGCAATTTGTTACAAAATCGTAATCACTTAGCTCAATTTGAATATTGCCATCTCCAACCTTATGGGGTAAAAACGGACATGTTATCTCAAAATATTCGCGCATTAAAGTCAAAAGGCAGTGTTAAGCAAAAAGTAAGATGGTGGTAAATGGAGGGGGGGATCAAAAGTGGAAGGCCTAAACATCCTCGATCTCAGTACTGTAAACATGCTAATTGACAACCTTAAGATGTACGTATGGGTCAATATTTTTCCTCTTCTATTTACCTTTTCTTCAGACGTGATTTATGAACTACCGGCAGCTAAGTTGATACTTTTTCCACTTCCTCCCACTTTTAATTGCCCGCACTTTGTGCTGACTTGTCTGTCCTGATTGTGGCATGTAAACTCGTTCCACTGAATGTCTATATACCCGGCCATGCTTGTGACTGACCATGTCTAAGGACACAGTGTAACGACCACTACTTCAGCACGTGGTGTTTGCTTATGTCCAATTTCTGTCGACTCGGTTATAAATAGCTTCCCTAAGGTGTGTACATTTCGGTCGACGTGCGCTGAAAAAAACTTCAGAAACTACCGCTGTCCTTGAAACAGGGAGGGGGGACACGGTAAATGGTCAGGAGAGAATAGAGAGGGGTGGATTCTGGCTCGTAAGGTCAGGGGTTCGAATCCCGGCATAGAAGGAGGTTGATACTGGATCGTAAGGTCGAGGGTTCGAATCCTGCCGTAGAAGGGGGTGGATACTGGATCGTAAGGTCGAGGGTTCGAATCCCGGCATAGAAGGTGGTGGATACTGGATCGTAAGGTCGAGGGTTCGAATCCTGCCGTAGAAGGGGGTGGATACTGGATCGTAAGGTCGAGGGTTCGAATCCCGGCATAGAAGAAGGTTGATACTGGATCGTAAGGTCGAGGGTTCGAATCCCGGCGTAGAAGGGGGTGGATACTGGATCGTAAGGTCGAGGGTTCGAATCCCAACGTAGAAGGGGGTGGATACTGGATCGTAAGGTCGAGGGTTCGAATCCTGCCGTAGAAGGGGGTGGATACTGGATCGTAAGGTCGAGGGTTCGAATCCCGGGATCGATAGTCTGAAGCCTGAGAAGCCACTTAAAGTCACAGTCCAGACAACACCGTTACCAAACGTTTTACCTCAACCGTTGCTAAGAATTAAGATTTCCTTCCTTTGCCCAGGTGTTAACATCACACAGATTAAGGTAAGCCCACAGACTGGAGTAAACGTGCATGTGAAATGTGAGAGGGTAACTGATATGTCGTAACAGCGCCTCCTAGCGTGAAAATAGTTAAATATCAATGTTACAATGTACTGCAAAAAAATAGGCAAACAGATACGTCTGTCCCTCCCCTGAGGCCGGTACTCAGTCCGCCATGTATGATGAAAACCATCCTAGCCAGGCCACCACCGGTGGGGCAAACAGCCTACGTCTGTCCCTCCCCTGCGGCCGGTGCTGGCGGGTCTCAGGCAGGTACCTACTGCCAGAATGACCGTAGAGAGGCAGTAAACAACACCCCAGAAAACCCCGAGACAAACAGCTATGAGACTGTATCTGCTAACTGTCACATTCAGTAAATATAGAAGGAAGGAATTGTTGGGAAATTTGTCTTGATTGCCAACATTTCTTTACTATGTGTTTGGCTATCCCCCTCTCCAAAAAAGGTCTGGTTCTCTCTTACGTTTCATTAGATTATGGACATCAAATTCCGTTTAAGATGAATACAAATAAGCATCATATTAGATAAACCCTTTTTTAAGATATTGCTCTGGTAAACTCCAGTACATTGTTGCGAAGCAGGTACAGATGATTTGCAGCAAATTGAATATTTTGAAAATACCAAATGCAAATATATATTTGTTCGTACCAAAATATCTCAAGATTGATATACAGGATGAGTTTGAAAAGATACAAATGAAGAAATTCTATTGACAAGATAGCTACTATAAAGTAATGCATATTCTAATCAAAGACTTGTGTCGATTATCATTTTCTGTTTGTCTCAAGAAGGAATGTCCTACAGAATGAGACTTGTGAATATCTTTGGACTAAAAATTCTTCAGTCCTTTCATGTCGTCCTAGATACAGCGGAGAGTTATTTAATCCAAACCTGTAATAAACTGGGAGATGCTGAGCTGAATATTAGACCTCTGTTGCGCCACTGAGGCTGCAACACGGCTGATTTCTGTGCTGTCCAGGTTATCCTACAATTGTGGAGAAACTAACGGTAACATCTTGTAAAATCCTTTGGTAAGGTAAGTATGGTAATGTAGCCTTCTGTTGTTGCTCAATGCTATCAATAGTATGGTGTGTTAACGCTCTATCATGGCGATAAAGCTGATGGCAAAAGTCTCTTTGTTGCTGCTTATGCAGCTGCTAGTGCCATGTGTGGACGCAGGTAGCTGGCAGAGCTGCCATAAAGTGTCCGTGGCGAAATGTGGTGTAGGTGACAGCCGTAGTGATGGCCATGAGTACCGGTATGACATTGGGGCGTACCGGTACAAGTGGACCAAATACCCGCATGAAGTATTCAGCTACAATGGCCCCTTCAACACTATACTTTTGGCTCAGACATACCAGTCCTGTCAGATCTGCTCAAACGAAACAAGGCCTACCCAGGGGGGTCCCAGTCAGAACCCTTCGCTACAAACGAGAACCAACATCATGATCGTTGGCAACAACGTCGGAAAGCTTGGCACTGACAAGGCAGATATTCTCTCTCAGATCCCATGCGGTAGAATGTGCAGGTTGTGGTTTGTGGATTGTAACCTAACGGCAATAGAGGTAGGGGCGTTTGCTAAGTTGCCACAGGTATCTACCCTGGTCATCTGGCGGAGCAATGTCCAGACTCTGAAGAACGGCACGTTTGCTGGGATGGAGGGTCTCAAGTATCTGCTGCTCTTGGAGAACAACATAACACATCTGCAGGTGAGATTTTGGAATTAACATGTATTTCTCACCAATATCCTGATATGTTAATTATATGTCGATGATCGTATCTTATACTTTTTCTGAAGAAAAAGATGGCTTCCTTAGCTGTCATGTTTAAGAGCCTGCTAACCCAGTCAAAGATTTATTCAAATCTGGCTTAAGTTGTTGGTTCTAGCCCCACAGCGTCGATTCTTTTGTCCCAGACATAGAATTTTCACACGTTTTCTTTTCTCGTTACATTTCACTTTCTATGGCTAATATCTGAAGGTATCGGCGGAAAATACATTTTTATATCAATACTTCTCATACAAAGCTCAGAACTAGTATGATTTGCTGCAGGATGGCTGCTTTCAAGGGTTGCCCAGGTTGTCCTACCTCATCCTTGTGGACAACCAGATCCTGACGCTGTCGCCCGGCGCGTTCCTGGGAGTGCAGCCGCGGTGGTTTGACGTAAGTGCCAATCTTATCGCTACTGTAGCACCGGGGACCCTGCAGGCGATCAAGTCCGTAGAATATGTCCGCGCTGTTGAGAACAAACTGCGATCTATCGGCGTGGAGATGTTTCACGGACTTGAACGGCTAAAATACCTGAACCTGGAGGGTAACAGAATCTCCCACATTGCTGCAGGCGCGTTCCACTCAAACACGCAAATGAACATCCTAAATCTCGCGGGAAACAGGCTGACCTTCCTGTCTGGTGGTTGGTTCAAATCGTCATTTCCAAGCCATGTCAACGTGCGTGGAAATGCGATTGCCGCCATTGCGTTGGAAGGGAGGGCGCTTCCTCGGACGCGAGGAACCCGGCTCGACAACCCGCCGCGCTGCACGTGTGCGAACGATTGGCTGTACGACCACAAGGGGATGAACCCGTTCAAGTTCAAAAGGCCTTACGCCAGGGAAATGCGGGTCCCCTCGACAGCAAGCTGCCCCGCCTCGCCGCTGATGCCAAATCCTCCTGCTCCGGTCAATCCCAACGGGTTGCCCTGCCCTGTACCGCTGGTCGAGGTTAAGCATGTTGAGCGCAGCGCCGCGTACAAGTACGAAGCCGCTGGTGACGTGTATTGGGAGCAATTGCCGACAGTGTCCTTTGCCTTCCCTGACGGCTTACACCGCACACTCGACATAACATACGACACAATCACAACCACACACGACAGTCTACCGACAGGCAACCTAACCGTGAGAGTGGTGACCAACCTAAAGGCTGAGGGCTGGGTGAAATGTAAGGGACCAGAAAACCTGTTGGGGGAAACAGGAAATCACAGCCTGTGTTCTAACTACATGGGGAGGTCCAGCTTCACCCTTTGGCTTGAGACCGCCGAGCCCTTGTCCTTTGGGAACACCACTTGTACGGCTTCTTCCGAAACTGGATCCGACACTGCCGTCTTCTCGGCGAGCGCGCGAACACACTCTGACATGACAACACTAACCGAGCTGACACTGCTCAACACGACACCATTCTCAGTCAGCATCAGCACTACACCACTGTCCAGTGGCGTCAGCACTACACCGCTGTCCATCAGCACTACACCGCTGGCTACTAACACGAGCGATGATGTACATCTAACGTGGTACGTCCTGTGGGCAGCTCTGGGCGGGTTGTCGGCTGCTGCGGTAGGGGTTTGGGGATGTGCCATGGTCAGCTGTATCAAGCAGAAGCTCAAACGCAATGCCCCTGATAACGGTGCAGGTCCATCCCGCAATGGCAACCAGATCGCTGCCTGCTCCATGTGGCCCCTTCCAGGTGGCAACTCGGAGGAGTCAGTGATCAGTCCGTACGCTGAGGGGCGTTTGGAGGATCACGACAGTTTGAATGAGTCAGAGTCTGTCATCAGCCCTTACGCTGAGGGTGGTTTCAATGACCATCCTGACCTGCGCAGGGCCGATTCTTCGCAGTCAGAAATCGCCCCGTACGGGCTGGCGAAGCTTTGCCCAGCGTACGGTGCGGCAAGCCGCCCCCGCGCGCACACACACCCCGTGCCGTCCCGCCCGTACAGCACCGAGCGCCCCCGTCAGAAACCAAACAGTGACAGGGCAGGGGCCGTCCTGGCTGCCTATGGCCAAAATGGTCGCGACAAGTCCGGCCAAAGTTGCTACAAGCACCCCTCCATTCTCCCCAACCCGGGTGCCACCAAGTCCTCTGCCTACCAGCAGAATGCCAGCGCCGCCCAGCGTGCCCGCAAGGCACCTTGCTACAACTCCCCTGCCCTGGCCACCGACCTAAAGCGTACCCTGTCCAACACATATGACCAGCATGACCCTAGCGAGGCAGTCTGCAACTCCGCAGCGTCCCCCGCGGCCTCGCCTGGTAGTGAGACCGGTACTCAGTCCGCCATGTATGATGAAAACCATCCTAGCCAGGCCGCCACCGGTGGGGCAAACAGGTACGTCTGTCCCTCCCCTGCGGCCGGTGCTGGCGGGTTTCAGGCAGGTACCTACTGCCAGAATGACCGTAGAGAGGCAGTAAACAACACCCCAGAAAACCCCGAGACAAACAGCTATAAACCGGCGTCCGCTAACGCTCACATTCAGTGAGTACAGAATTAGGAAGGAATCGTTGAACGAAATTTGTCCAACACCTTTCATTGTTTATTGGACCTTTGGATAAAACCATTCCCCCAAAAGTTGAAATTTAAAGACAATCGCGGCAAATTGTAAATTCTACCGATTGGATTTTGACTCATAGTTGTCATCAAACCATATACATGTAGTTTGTGACACAACTAGTTGATTTACATGTATTATCTTAGGCCGATCAGGTTATGTTTCATGGTACCACATACTCATGTATGTGAGAGCAGCGTAATAACTCAAGAAGTTGTGGGTGGCTCTTCATGATATTTGGTATGTTGGTAGACATTTTGTTTGAGACTTTATAGGAGGGGGTGACGGGTAGCCATGTCTTTTGGTATGTTGGTATGCAGATAGTTTAATTACTATTTACATAATCAGTAATTAACTATACAAGCCCCAAGCTTTTTAATTGCCCAATCCGTTCCATGATAGGATTTTCATGCTCTTTTGTCAAAAAATGATTTTTTAATTTTATTGCATGCACTCCGACTTTGGCGAGGTTGATGAATCGGTATGATTTTTGGTATGCAGATAAGTACAAGTAGTTGAATTATTATTTTTTTCATAATCAGTCCTGACCTTATTTGCATAGTCTAGAGAGAAATTCTATGTGTTCCATGATAGGATTTGAATGTTTTGTTTGAAAAATAGTGTTTTGTTTGAAAAATAAAATTCTTACATAATTTCATAGCAACCTGACTTCGTATGAACTGAAGCTGCCGAAAAAACATGGCTGCACTGGACCATTTATCATGCATACGGTAGGGGCCAAAGTCATAGAAACAAACGTTAGTGTCTGTTAGGCTCCTATAATGGCATTTCATGCATAGAAAATAAAAAAATACTGTAAAATAACAAAAAACACGAATTCAAATTTCCAAAAAACCGTGCTGAATAATTGAAAATGTTTTATTATATTTTCCATGGTACAGATCTCAAAGTCAGACAAACTTGCACACATGTACATTCTGTACTACAGAATGGACTTGTGCCCGTGTGTCACCATTCTGTATCTTATAAAAATGGTAGCCCTGAAAGAATTCTTGATATCAGACAAAATTACACAAGCTTCTGAAGGACGCAAATATGGCCAGGATGCTATTCTCCGTAGTTTTTAATGTGCCACTAGATAACATCCAGGCTGTAGAGAGGGTTGAACACCCAATTGCTAATCCTAGCATCATTTTTCTGGGTCAAAAATGTACCAAAATTCTAGGATGAAAATCACTAAGGCTGATAGCAAGACTTCTCACCATTTACAGCAACTGTATGAATTACCCTAGTGTTTTTGGCATTAAACAAACGAAAACTACCCATTTTTATACCAAGAAAGAAAGAAAGAAAGTATATTGAACATCTAAAACTTAACATGCATGTGTTGCCACATATGTCGTGAAAGACATGCAACTGTAAGGAAATTAAAATATGGAATGATAACGTTAACTGAAATATCAAAACTGCAATATTGGTGGTGTCAATACATTTGTAAATAGGGAATATATGCTTAAATGATAATTGATGTTTGTAGAATCAATATATAATGTATTTTCCCTGCCATGGCAGTCACAAACGAAAACTACCCATTTTTATACCAAGAAAGAAAGAAAGTATATTGAACATCTAAAACTTGCCACATATGACGTGAAAGACATGCAACTGTAAGGAATTAAAATATCAAACAAATATGGAATGATAACGTTAACTGAAATATCAAAACAGCAATACTGGTGGTGTCAATACATTTGTAAATAGGGGATATAACGTTATACATATGCTTAAATGATAAGTGATGTTTGTAGAATTGATATATAATGTATTTTCCCTGCCATGGCAGTGCACATCTTATGGTAGAATAATATTTGATCACTAGATAATTAGCTTTCTGAAAATTCACTTCACAATTAGAATTGTTTATAACGGAAAGTATCATGTATAGACCATTTTCCATTAGCCAGGAGTGTTATTTTAATGTTATCTGGCTATTGTTTACGTTAGCACATTATAGAAAAAAATGTGATCTGTATTGTTATTAGGACGAGAAAAGCCCTATATATAAACTTCGTTAGCCTTGTTAAGTTGGTCATATCGCTATAAATGTTCTTCATCTGAAAGTACCAATGGTAAATCTGTACGTGTAACACATGACTGTAGTCAAAAACAATGTCTACACAATGTGGAAGACATAAGTAATTCACTTTATGTTCGGTTATGCGACAACAGCTGGGATTCGAGCCCGGGACCGGCCGATCCATGATTCACAAGCACGCTGCATCCTGTATGGTCATACACTACCTATGAGCAGTGGGCATCATCATCATCATTAACCAGTGGACAATGAACACTAAATGTACCATTGCGTGCTATGTCAAATGTGAATCCTCAATGGACATGACTTGTACTGTTCTCTATGTACGATGTATCATATCTCCACGGGAACAGGGTCTGTGTAAATTGTAAAGACTATGCACGATACATTATATCCACTGTAACAATGTCTGTATAAATTCTTAAGACTGATGGTTAGCTTCAACAGGCCGTCTACAAGCATACTATACGGAACTGTGAATCGGTGGGGTCGTGTGGCGTAGCGGCAGAGTGCGCGACTCGGAACTAAGAGTCCCGGGTTCGAGTCCTGACATGCCACCGATCTTGTGCCCTTGGGAAAGGCACTTTACACGGCTTTCCTCACTTAGCTCAGGTGTAAATGAGTATTGTCCTGTCCTGTATTTGTCCCCTGTGTTGGTGGCGGAATTAATATAAGTTGAGGAAACTTGAGTGTGTCGTCACCACGTCTGGTGATTACATGTTGGAATAAAAAAAAAAAACTGTGAATGAGAATTGTCATCAATATGGTCCAGCAACAAATCTTATGCATATGGTACATTACCCTTACAATCTTCATTGTGTATGTGTATGACTGTTACATGTATAAAATGGTACGCAATACCTTCGTGCTCTAGAAGAAAGCACTAGAAAAGCTACCGCACTGTACTAGTATAGTAAAATATACTAGTACATTTCCTTTTGCGAAGGTAAACATTCACTGTTATTTTCATGGTTAAGGATGGCCTACAAGGCAATGTGAGCTCATGTCATATCCATATATACCTAACAATACATAATGTATACTGATGATGTTAATATGACATATCACACGTCAAAGTGTTCCACGTATAGTTGCTATGGTACTTTTAGATGATACGGGATGACGATTTCCAACAAAGAAAGTGTACATAAAAAAAAAACACAAAAACAAAACTCTTTTTAAAGAGTTGCTAGCTGTTCACTGTGATCTTGATATCGTTAAATGTCGCCATATTAATGTAGAGTTTAGCGATGTAAATGATTTCAAGTTGATGTATACAAATATATGCCTTAAAGAATTAGTAAGTATGAACCTGATAATAAGATATTGAATAATACTTGAATAATAGCTATGTCATCATTTGCGTTGGTGGTCGTAATTCTAAAATATTTTACAATGAATTGCTTATTGAGATAATTCTAGAAGTGTAGGCATTATTTCTATGATAACTCACTCATGTATGACTAATATTGGCACCACCAGAGAAGTTATAAAATAATAACCAAACATTGTTAAGGTTGAAGAGTTTTAATAAATTGTCTAAGTGTTAACCCTTCAGGTTCTGAGTGTTCTATGGTGTTCTGGATTTCATTTGTGGATGTGTGGTGTGTGGGTATGATTACAGTAGCTGAGAGAAGGGGTCCATTTTGAAAAATTACAAAATCGGTGTTATTTTGATAATCTGATGAATACAAAATAATGCGTATTGTTCAAAGGACAACTCTAGCAAAAACAATAAAATCAACAGCTATTGATACAGTTACGTAGCATAACAACAATATTATTGCTCTCATTTTAACGGAAAATATGAAAAATACACAAACAGGTCAAATTTTAACACATTAACCATGAGACTACAAACTAAATAGAAAACAACTGACCAAGATGAGGACGTTTTTTTTCACACCAAATATTTGTGTTGTAATTTTTCAATGGATAAACAAACAATATAGAAATGTCGAAAGGACAATATTTGTTTATTTTATGATCAACAAACACAATATCAGTACTCTCAAATCTCCCATGTTGCCATGCTGAAAAAAAGTTGAATAATTACAGTTTTAGCTCAGCTACAGACTAATAAAGCTTGGAGAAAATTATAAAATAGTTGGCGATGCTTTTTTTTTTTTAAATTTCGTGTGGGTATGATTAACTACTGAACACCTGTTGTAAAAACGACGGTAAACAAAATTTGTGGCATGTCCGGGAATGTTTTTTTGGGGGCTTTCATCTTCTTTTTACGAACTGACGATGGAAACCTTTGAAGGTAGTAGAATGTTTTTATGAATACATTGTAAAGTGACTATTTTTTTTAATCATAGGTCAGGGACTCCAAAATTCAGACTTTGTAAGCGGTGATATCCAAACGAACTAGATCACAAAATCCCGTTTTTAATTGGGGTATAACAAAATCAAAAACGAACACAAAGTAACACTAGATACCTGTATTAAACGTAATAAATTCATGGTACTCCAACTAGTTTTGAAGAAAATGATTTGGGAGGGGCCCAGTACTGGTGCTCTGTACGTGTGGATACCGTTATTTGTGGTAACGTTAAATGCACCCAATGTAATTTTTAAAAATTGTGCATTTATCTCACATTTCTGGCATTTATGGTTGGCGCTAGAACAGCCCACATAAGGCGCACTAAGTTTGTGGTGCCACCACAAACTACCAGAATGTAAACAAACATGGTTGACAGCTATGTTTCAATCTTTGAAACAAGCGTGTTTCAATCTTTGAAACACACTCGTAAGGCGTCATCTTTTGGTACCTACACTCACCTGAATTGTACATGTAACGTTACTTATTTGCAATGGAGAAGGGTTGATTCAAGTTGAATTAAAATTTGTGAAGAAATGGCTAGAAAAATTTAACTTTTTGTATCGTCCCAATGTTCAGGTTCGTCGAAAAGATTATGCTCAAATCCATGAATGAATGAATGGGTGGACGGATGAATGGATGGACGGAAGGATGAACGAATGAACGAGTGAATGAATGTTTTTTAATGATTTTGATTCAGTCAAAAACACATTGCAGTCACAGGCTGTGTACTTTTTACACATTTGAAAACTATCTTTGAATTTATCTAGCGTCACTGAAATAACGTACAGTAAGTTTCTGAAAGAATTTTCTTTCTCAATTTTGCTCATTCATAAAACACTATAAAACACCCGCCATAAAAAAATCCCATGAACCTCTCCGGCAACCCACGTGACTTTCACGCCAGGAAGTGGAAAGATCGGGAAGTGAAGTACAAAATGTAAGTAATTTTCAGCTTTATTTATTTAATTACACTGATATAACGTTGCAGTCATTTCTTTAAATGTAGTTCTGATGATTTGAGTGCGTCTGTTGAACGATTTCTTGTCTCAGTGTTGCAAAAACGTGGCTCATGTTACGACGAAATGGCGAATGGGGGAGGGGTTTTTAGTGTACTTTGGTCAAATCTTCGCAGGAATTTACCACAAAAATCTCGTTTAAACATCACATTACTTCAAAAACAAATTCAGAACGATCAACTTTAACTTTTCGTGGCGTAGTGAATACATGAAAGGCTTTGTAGCGATCCACATATCTTCAAATTGTTGATTGTCGGTGCGCCCCCTCCCCCTTCCTGTCCGTCTTAAGGGCGATGACTAGTGACTTCATTTATTAAGGTTGACATAATTACGCTTCACGTATCTATCTTAGAGCTCTCACTTGGAAGAAAAGGCACACAATACGTTGAGTTTCCACTGATTTTTTCCAACATATTTTAGAGGGGGAACTATGTCAGATTTGATGCACAAAAATGGGGAACAGTTGTATGTAGTATTTAACAGGAAGTGTTAAAGTGGTGTGTGGTATGAGTAAACTGACTCAGCTACACTGGAATGTCGAATCAGTCTCTGTGTGTTTTGGAACCAAACAGTCTCAGGGCTTCTTTGCAAAGTGCGGTTTAGAAAACCTTGTGTATTTTCCAACCTTTTCGGTAAGTACATGTATTATAGGGTATTAAATGTAAAATTATATTTGGGAAAAGAGAATAGCTTTGTATTTAGAATTTCTTTGTTCTGTGACAATAGCGTGATATTCTGTATAGTCTGGCAAGTTGAACTTTAAAGGTATTCATTGTAAGATTGTGGCATTGTCAATTTTCTATTAAGGTATTAATGTAAAAAAAGGGAGTCTCTGTGAATGTACAAGTTTTAGTTGCATTTGTGCTGTGTGTAAAATTTATGTCAAAAATATGAAATAATAGATCTGTTGAAAAAATGTATGTCTGTGAATGTCTAAAAATGAAAATTTCATTATCAGTAAATTTCTGTTTCTGAGTTAGGGCCACATGTTGGAACTGTTGAAATGTACATGTGTGTAATAGAATTATATGGTTGTCATGAAAATCTTAAATTATCATTGAAAAAACAGTATAAATTTTGGATGGGGGTTTGAGCTTACACCAATATGAGCCATTCCAAAATGGCTGAAAAGAGTGAGTTCTTTTTAAATGTAGTGACAAGTTATAGAAGGCAGTTGCTGATTTGCCAATTGTCTAATTACATTAACAGTAGAAGAATCCATCATGTAAAGTATTAGCACTGAAATGATGTGGTGTAAGAGAGTACTTGATTAGATTGTGACGATGTCTGGAGGGTACGTTTATTCTGGGGGATATATTCATTAGATTTTGAAAATTTGTCTGGGGGGGGGGTACTTTTATTATGGGATGTATGTTTATTCGGGACCTAAGACAGTAAGAGTTAGTGACAATGTCAAAATCTGTGTATTTCAATTTGTCAATATAAACTCTTAAAATTTGATTTTATAGTTAGAGCAGTGTTCTAGCCAGCTTGAAGTTTTGTTTTTCCATCATCTCAATTTTGTTTGATGTAGCAAGATCATGTTATATGCAAAGGTGCGACAATCCTACATTAAATTTGCAGTTTTGACCCTATGAAATGAAATCCTGTATTTTGAGGGGCTGATATAACATTATATAATTATAGTGGTATCCTTGCCCACCAATTTTTTTCCGTTAAAGATGACGGATTGAGCAAAAATTTTCTCTGTCATGAGCTGGATCTATGGCCACACCAATTTAATTTCTTGGTTAACGGATTTTTCTAGAAAAATAATGGAGCGGGCGGGCGATAAAGAAATAAAAAAAAAAACAGGCCTAGACATCCTATTATGGCCCAAAATGGTACGATAGGAACCATGAAGTCACCACACCAGGCCGGTTCAAAATTTAAACAATGAATTTTGAACTTTTAATGATACCATTGCATTGAAAGATGGAATAACTGTAACAACTAGGATGAAAATGACTGTTTTCAACTGTTCAGGGCAAAATATGAGCATTTTGCAGTTGATTCTGAAATTTTATTTTTATTTGCAAAGCAGAAAAAAATGAAGCGGGCGAATCCGTTAACCAAGAAATTAAATTGGTGTGGCCTAAGTAACTAATTTTACTTGGCCCAAACGTCTATTGATTAACTGTTACAACTCCAGACAGACTCTGTCATGAGCTCAGCCTTAGGCAAGCCTAGTCAGCTGGGTACAGCCAACCCCAGAACGTACCCAAATATGGGCATATCCCTCTTCTACTGCAAACACAACTGAAGGTCGCCCAAATCTTTGTCTTTCATCTACCATAACTTCTGTACTAATTTTACCATAAGGCCATGTTTATTTGATTATATGGATGACATCCGCGCGCGCATGAATTCTCGGCCGTTTCCAAAAAAAAAGTTTTCAACCATACTGTAATTCATACAAAATAGTTGCAAAAAATCATACAAAACAGTTGCAAAATGAGCAAATATATACCGAAAGTTAAAAAAAAATCGAAAATGATACCAATGTCGTAGAATGCCAAAATTAAATGAAAAACACAAAAATTTGAAGAAATGAATTTGAAGTGTAGATTATTCGCCATACCATACTGTGTGTCCTTTAACCTTCATGACCACGTACATTCATGATAAAAGCCACTTTCTTTTTTGCAAAACTTTTTTTTTTATTCGCACACGTGCATCAGTTTTGGGGTTCCCAGAGGATGTCATCCATATAATCAAATTTTGAAATTTCAAGCCTTTAAAAACGCAATTTCCAACATTTTGAGAGGCAAATCATGGGGATGAGAGTGGTTGTTGGTGGTCCTTTGTATGTTTTTATGTACCCAAGAATTTTGTCAATTTTGTCTATCAAGGTTTAAATTTTTTTTCTGTCACATGCCACAAAGTTCCTGCAATTGATGGGAAAACTGGTGCTGGCTAGAACCCTGGTCTTAATACTTTTGAAATAGTCTTGATATAAAATGCCAGCTTGTGGTAGTTGAATATTCCAGATAAAAGCAAAAACAACTTGCAGTAGTTGGCATTAAGCAAATATAATGCAGGCTTGCTACTAAGATATTGTTGAAAACTGAAATGAAATATTTCAAGCCCTGTCATCTCTGATTAGCATAAAACAGCTGTTTGGGCTGATACCCCCCTCCCCCCATGAATGGAAACAGGTGCATCAAATGATTGGTGTGAATATGAGCGATAGCCATGAAGTCATGGTACGCAAAAAGTGGGTGATGGTTGGTTGACTTGCCTACAGATAGTTTGCATATGTCTTGAATAATTTGCATGTATATCATGTAAACAAAAACAGTGATCGCTCGTATTGAGCTGTGATAATAAAAATATAGTTTATCAGGCAGATTTCCTCATTCAGTTTTTTCTTTTGCTTTGGGTGCCTTTAGATAAATAAACACGTCAAACTTTGGCAATAACATATGAGAAAACATTCCTAACTCATCAGTCATCACTTGTAAGCCCAGCCTCACTGAAAAACAATATTTGGCATTTCCCTTACTGTAAGTCTTAAAATATTTGCAATGTTTTAAACCTACGGGGTTTTGTAGTGGCCTCTCACAAGTCATCATACGGTACCCGTACAAATATTTTGTATGATCTTTCTTCAATTGTTACCACATATTCTACAGTTGAAATACACCACAAACCCTAATATTTTCAAATCTAAATGCTGTGAATCTAAACAGACTTACAGTAAATTTTGCAAGTAAGGCTTTTTTAAATGACAGTTTCCATAATGCATAAAATATATTTTTCACCACAACATAACCTAAACGTACCGTACTACCATTTAGAAATATCCAAATTTAAATGCTGTGAATCTAAACAGACTTACAGTAAATTTTACGTAAGTAAGGCTTTTTTAACGACAGTTTCCATAAGGCATAAAATATATTTTTCTTCACAACCTAACCTAAACCATGTAGAACTATCCAGAAATATTTCAACTTGTACTAGCCTTGGTTTCACCATATAGAACATACTAGACTTATCAGTCACAGACCCAACCCTAGCCTTCATGACATAACTGTGAAAGGGGCTATTTTAAGATCCAGCTGTTCTATATGTTCTATGTTTAGCAGTACAGTCCTTCCTTGTTGCAGTGTATCAATGTGGCGTCCATGCTTGGTCTAGCTGTGTAATCTCCATTTATTCCGTTGAAGTCCTCTCAAAGGTGATATTGTAAAGCTGGTTTTGTACGGAAAACCTTACAGGTTGGCTATACATTTATTCTTGATGTAATTTTGAAGAAATTTTGAGTGCAAACATTGCTAACTAGACTACGTTCATAGAACTGAAATGGGTACTGCTAGACTAGTATTTGGTACAATTGAATGCTAAAATTTCTTCTATGAAACTTCATGTAAGTAATTTCAAAATCCTGAGTTTTAACGATCTTCAAGTCACAGTTTTTAGAATCATCTTGTGTAATAATTATGAAGTATTTGTGTGCAAGTGTTCTGTATTAGTAGCTTGTTTTCTCTCATTGTACTATTATGTGCACAATACTCTAGCATGTCATTGTCTTTCATATATATGGCCAATTTTTACTGCATATAGTAAATGTTGATCAATATCACATCAAAATATTTTGTACACATTTTCTTTCGCATTTCTATTACAAGTATTGGTATATCCTCTGGCAAAATAGTTTCTACTTCCTCATTGTTAGTTAGTTTGCTATCTTTAGTACACTTTCCCTATATTATCTATTCTTTTTCTTTAAATCTGTTATCGTTTAATCTCTGTTCTTTCACTCACTCACTCCTTGTATCTATCATTCCTCTAGTGACTCTTTCATTGTCGACTGCGTGTTTGAATCGAAGTTTGTGATTGGTTAACGTCCGTTGGTTACCATGGAGAACAAAAAGTTGTTACGGATCTCGGAGAGGTTGGAGAGAGTCGCTGTACAGTTAGAGCTGGTGCTGCCTTTTTTTTCCTTTTCCTTTTCTGCAAACTTTCCTTTTAAGCTTGCACAGCTTCTGCATTTCTTATCGAGCAAGATGAAAACAAGAGTTTCTTTGCATGCGAAATTTCTAGTTTTTCTTCCTCAAACTTCTTTTTTTTCACGTTTGTCTTAAAGAAGTAGATACAATTTGCACAAATCACTTTATCTAGCTCAGGGCTCAAGCTAGTGCCTGTTTTTCCGTCAATTGTCGGCATGTTGTGGCTAATTATATGTGACAGAAAATTTTTTGAACCAATCCGTCAACTGTAGGCAAAATCAACAAAAATCTTTGGTAAAAAATATAAAGCTTAAAAGCATCTGAAGGACCACTGACAACCACTCTCAACCCCATGCATGTTTTTTTCTCTCAAAATGCATGAAATTACATTTTTGTAAGGGCTTCTGAATGATGGGAAAAAGTCGGCTAGAGCCCTGATCTACACATAGCTCTCATAAATTGCTTGCTTACTGCTGGTATTTTGTTAAAGCAAAATTTCTTCTTTCTTTAATTCTTTCTATCTTGCACGAATTTGGCTGCTTTATTGCGTAATCCTACATATTCTATCCTGTTCTTCCTTTTACTTTTTTCTCCCGCCATCTCTCCCCTCCCTGCGCTGCGCTGTGATTGGCTAGAGTTTTGACGCCATGTTGGATGAAGGTGACGTTGACCCGAGAGCGTTTGCCGACAGTCTGAAGGGTAGACTGAGGGATAAGATTCCAGTACGTGTCCAGATATTTGCTTTCCCTCTACAGTACATGTACCCCAATATGCCCCGCTTTTTAGTAAATTTTACTTGTAGAGATATGATATACAACGCAAACTGTACATGTGCACACTCATATAGAAAGTACAAAACTGAGTGTTAGAGCTTATATATAACAAGTGTAGCCTATCTAATTAACCTTGTCTACTCCTATATCTGTCTACAAATACTATCTCTTTGTCTATCATTCTATCTATCCATCTCTTTATGTACATGTATTATTGTATGTTGTAACGTTACATGCGAAAGGACAATTAATTTAAGACATATATGGTACCTTCTTGCAGATGCTTAATTATCTTCCAAGCATTTGAAGACCAATGCAGTGCTATGTTATGTTAATTAAGATTTTCATTAGAAAACTACAGAGCAGATTATTTTAAGGTTCTACATGTATTACAATAATACACAATCCCAGAGGGATATTTCAGGTTGTCTTAGTTATGAATTTCCTGATAGGGTCATTTATCATATTCATGATCTCAGAGTTTTTAGAATAAGTACAACTAAATAGAAGCAAAACATCAGCATTGATATGTGTTAATAGGGTATGTTGTATGATACTTGAAAAGACAGTAACTATAATTGAATTTCTAACAATCTCAATATGCAAACTTATCATATTCATAATGTACCACCAGTTTGTGACACAGTTTATCAAAGTTGCGAAACGTTTTGGTTCTGTGATAAAGTCAGACGTTTCATGGAAATTTGATTTAATATTTACCAATCTAATGATGTAACTCCAATAAAAATTTAGTTGATTCATGGGGATGAACACCATCTTTTTAGTATTTAAACTTTAATTTTTTTTCAGTCTTTCTTTTATTTTTCATTCACGTGGATTTGTGAGTATCAGATAGCAAGCACAAATGTGCTTATATGATCCCCACAAACATAAAACATACAAAATACAGATTGAAATAGCAAATACAAATATATAACAAACATTAAATTGAAAGTGGCTTCAGTCTTTACTGTCACCTTTCCAAAGTATTGACCAGTGTGTATTTCATCTGGTTGCAGTTTTACACCATGTCTACGGACCTGACTGGTATTGTGAGGCGGTTGGAGGCGGTTACGTCCCGTCTGGAGGCGGTCGCAGGTGCCGGTGGCGGTGCTGGTACCGAGAGTTCGGTAGGGGACGCTGGCGGATGTAAGTATTTATTTATTTATTTATTTAGGCCACACCAATTTAATTTGTTGGTTCACAGATTCGCCCGCTTCATTTCTTCTGATTTGCAAAAAAAACATGTAATATTATGCCAACACCATTTTGAACTCCTAGCCTGATTTTTTCAGTCTGTAAAATTTCAGATGCTCCTTACTCATCCTACCTATGTAGAGGGGATGCCATTGGTTGGTTTATTACCCTAAATATGGTAATGATGAGATGATGTTGTGTGATTGGTCACTTCTTAACCAATCAGGTCCAAGGTCATACATTATATCCCATTTTCATTCAATTAAAACCTTCTTTTCGGTACTATCTGTTGCCACTTTATTTTTGTTTCTTTATCTCTTTTTCCATCTTTCCTTCCTTCTTTTCTTCCTTCCTTCCTTTTATGCTGTTGTCCTGTGATGATATGAAAGATGGAGTGAATGAGAAGAATACCGGAGGAAAGAAGGATGTTCAAGTCGTATTGACTCCCCAGGTCAAAGAAGGTAACTGAAAACAACTTAAAATCAAGGAGGTTTAAAAAGAGCTCTTTTTAAACTTCCTTGGGTTGATTAAACCAAGATTCATAACTAACTTGTCTCTTATATCTGATATTAATTATTAATTATTCCTTTGGCTATATTATCATTTATAACTCTAACATTATAAATAACAAGAGGTGATAAACTTAATAGTCATTGAGTGAGTTTCCCACAATTCCTTAATCCAGACTACCCCCTTCAATTTTAAGACGGAATAACCGTTTGTATAAATTATTAAATCTAAATGATATTACATGTACAAATGTACACATCAACAATATCAAAAAGAATGTCAGTTAGAAAATTTGAAAGAGTTGTCCCTAATTCTTGTAGTTACCTTTATTTTTTGTAACACTTTTCTGAATTACGTAGTTGAGAGAAAACTTGCTTAAAAACTTAATTTATTAATTTATTAATTAGTTCATCAACATAATAATATACGTAAATCAACATAATGTGTAAGAAAGAGATTCAGAATAATTCTATTAAAGGTTTTTTTTCCTCAGTAGGATTAATATTATAACAGTTACTGTGAAAGAAGGTAGTGTCAGGAAAATAATAGTCACCCCCACTTTTACAATGGAACAGCCCTGTTGACCTCTACTTGACAGCCCTCACTAAGAACAATAGGTACCCTATTATGTCTACTAGATCAAATATCACCACACGAAAAAAAAGGCGCTCCAACTGTAACGGCCTCAAAACCTTTATTTATGAACAAAAAACACAGTTCTTTTCTTTTTCTTCTCTGCTCGACTGGTTATACAAGTTGGTGCTTGTAGCAAGGAGGCCAGATATTTGTGTAGGCCCAATTTCTGGGTGTGTATTGTTATTAGTTACACACCACCACACCCAAAGTGAGTACAGTACGTGAACAGGCATGGCGTGCTTTAGGTGTTTTTCTAGAGGCAAGAAAGCCAAGCAGAAGTACAGTTTTAGCGAAGGAACTTCTGTGAACAGTAACAGTGTTAGTGTCCCTATGCAAAATGGAAGTCCAGAAAGAAGAATAGAACTGGAAAAACAGAATGAGAGAGAGACAAAGAGAGAGGAAAAGGCTTGCATTACAGAGGAAGAGGGTAGGAATTATGTTTGTATTTACATTTGTTTATTATTTGCCTGTTGACAAACAACAACTTTGCTTGTGCTGTTAAATGATAATGAAACAATTTTTAGCTATAATTATTAATTATTCATTCCAGTCATATTTTATTTAACAAAATTGTACCATCTTGATAGACTCAAATCTAGTATGCAGAAATATAATTATAGCTCAAGTTGATGTAGTTTTATTTGGTTACGTGTACAGAGATCTCTAAAATGCAATTATTCTGTCAAATAAAAGATTACATGTTAGAAGAAATTGTCTAAAGATAGGGGGCAAAGGTCATGACCTTTGACCTAACTGGCTACAGGTGTATCTAAGTTGTCTGAACAATTTTGGTATAATTACATTTTAGACATCTTTCGCCTAGTATAATGCCAAGGAGGTTAAATTCGCATTTTAACGTAATGCCTAATACTAGTGATAATGCTATTTGTCTGTATCGCAATTTCTATAAAATAAATAATATGTCATTGTATAAACTAGTATAATAGATGTATATTGTGTAAACAGGGCCACAACCAGGATCTCTTTGAAGAGAAATAAACCATTTTACTTACTACTGATATTGTAATTTGTTAAAGATTTGTCATAGAAATTGACCTGACTACTACTATTAAAGCTTTAAGTCATCCTTGGTTTTAGGGTATCTGTATCTGTATAGCAGGTATAACCGCCTTTCGGCGTAACACACCAGCTTAAAGATTATCATAGAAATTGACCTGACTACTACTATTAAAGTGAGACTGTTGTGCAGTTGATAAGAGATGTCTTAAGTTTTGTTCAAGATTTGTCTTAGAAAGTCAAGGACCTGTCTATTTAATCTTTGCGTTTTCGCTGGTATTAGCTAGGTTTAACTCCTGTCACCATATTATATGATTGTGTTTGAGTAAGAATTAACAGAGCAGACCATATGCGAAGGTAAACATTATGCCAAAAAGCAGTTACTCAAGCAACTGGATATGATTTTGAAAACGTCAGACGTTTCAGCTAGCTAGCTATCCACTAGCTTTCCTTTTCAAAATCATATCCAGTTGCTTGAGAACTGCTTTATGGCGTATCGTATTACCTGGATGTCTAACCTTCATCGATGTAAACATTATGCATTTGCTTTGCAAATGTTACCTTTCTAGTTTGACTGTTTAGGTTTTTAATGAATGAATGAATGAAGACCTTTATTGTACACACATACCCACTGGGTTAAGTACAGGTCACAAAAAAGAATGGAATATAGATAACGTTACATATATACATCGTCAAGTAGCTACAATCAAGTAAATTCGTTTTCTTCTCGTTTCTTAGTAATGGCAAAATGTAAGAACAGATATGTTTCAATACAGAAGGTTTGTCTAAGCTCATTAGAAATATAGATTTATCTGTACAGCATAGATGTATGAAGAAGGGGAACATAGATTGTATCATATTATAAAGATCTGCTCTCTCTTTGTGGTATAGTTTACATTCTGTTACAAAATGTTTCTCATCTTCGATTCTTCCTAGATCACAGTACCGATATATTCGTTGTTCTAGGGGAGTGCGGTTATGTCTACCAGTTTCGATGTGTAATTTGTGTTTAATGAATTTTATCTCTGCCCCCTTCCCCAGCTTTGGCGCCGTTCGTAGAGGCCTACGATGAAATCCTGTCTGGACCATTCGCACAGGTCGTTTCCCTGAGTCAGCAGTTAGGAGGGGATGTCAGCACACAGGTAAGCTGTCAATCAACCAATCAATCAATCAATCAATCAAGTAGTTGGCCAATCAGTCACTTTTGTGTTTAGTCTGGAGACTCTGGTCTATGATGTCATTGGTACTGAGTCAGGTTTTTGTGAACTAAGGAATTTGAAATTTTCATATCTATGAGTAAATGGAAATCTTTATTGACACAACAAAAGTATAGCGACTTTTGTAAGGTCTTCTACAACTACAGCTGGTGTGTTACGCCGAAAGGCGGTTATACCGGCTATACAGATACAGATGCAGATACATGTATACCTAGAAACAAACAAGTAGATACAAAGGAACTTACATACATGTATAAATAGATAAATCAGCATGTTGAGTTTATTACCTTCGCCAAGAAGGTTATGTTTTCAGTAGCGTTTGTCCGTCTGTCTGTCTGTCTGTCTGTCTGTGAACAGCATAACTCAAGAAGCTTAGTATGCATTGTCATGAAACTTGGTAGGTAGGTAGGTCTTGATGAGACCTCGAAATGATTAGATTTTGGGCCCCCCGGCGGCTTCTGTTGGTACTGCAGCAGAACTTCCGGTTTTGATATCTCGTGATCTGTACATGCTAGGGTCACGAATTTTAGTTGGTAGATAGTTCTTGAGGTAGGGAAGAAGTGACATGAGTTTGGGCCCCCTAGCGGCTTGTTCTGGAACTGCAGAAGCATTTGTTGAAAATTTTTCGAAGGATGATAACTAAGGAACCGGTTGACGGATTGTCGTGATTTTTGGTATGTAGGTAGCTGAAGTGATGCTCGACATAATCAGATGACAATTATGCAAATCAGGAGTTAATTTGCATAATTAATGAGGAAATTCTAAAACTCTGCATTGTTCAATAATAGGACTATGAAACACTTGTGACATGTGATTGAGAATTTTAAAAAATCTGAGGATATAGATTATGTAAATGAAGACCTAATTTGCATAATTAATGGGAAATTTTTATAATTTCATAGTTGTAACTGCTGGGAATTTCATACTTCCCACATTTGGAAGTTAAGTGAAAGGCGAACATCAATAAACATAATTTATTCAAATCATGACCTCATTTGCATAATTTATGAGGAAGTGCTATAGTACCCTTTTTGTTAAGATAAGACTGTCATTGGGTGGAGAATATGATCAACTGATATAACCCATGCAAATGAGGATCTTATTTGCAAAATCAATTATTAAAATTGTATAATTCTTCAACCGCAAGGGTTAACATCTTTTGGCGAAGGTATGAGATCGTGGAACTCTTGTTCATTATTTTTTTTACTGGTTTAAAAACATTCTTCTATGTTCTTGTCTACAAGTTCAGGAATTTTTTGTCAATGTTTTCTTCTTTTTTTCTCCAGGTTTCGATGGTGAAGCAGGCGTTCCAGGCACAGAGAGAGTTCATCGTGCACGTGTCCAAGTGTAAGGAGCCTAGCCCGGTGAGTGGGTCAGAGGTCAATGGGTCAGAGGTTAAGGGTTCAAAGGTCAGAGTTGACAGCAAGGCAACACGCATCAGTCACAGCGATTTTGGGGATAAATGTAAAAAAAATCCAAATATAGACTGAATTTGAATTTGGAGGAAAAAACTCCTGCAAAATTTGGCATTTCCTTTTTTACAACAACCCTATGCTGTCAAATAATAAAATATTATGCTTTCTACTAAAAATACATCATTTTGGGAGGAATAAAGGGTGAATTACCTGTTCTATAAGATGGACAGTGAACGACAATCACTCAAACCTTTGCAAATGACCTACGTAAAATCAAGGACCATCTGGCCAATGCGACAACTTTTTGGTGGTTCCTTAGTTTTTTCACGTTGATACAATTATTAAGAATCCTGTCTTTGTGTTGGATCAAAAGTTTTAACTTTAAACAATAGATATAATTAGCAACACAGATAAACTTTCATGATAGATTAAGAATAAAGAACTGTGTCTTTCGCGACCTCTTGTCATTTTATCTGTCCCCTTAGTGGTCTTCTTGGGACTGTAGTCACTTCTAATTTTAGGCATCTTCACTACAGGTTTTCTTAGTCTTAAGTTTCGGTAAGTATGTGTGAGTTCTTGTTGACAGTGTCTTCAAGGGTCTTGTTGACCAAAGTTGTCCACGTCTTGGTCGGTGTGGTTTTCAAGACGCTGAGAAAGAGGAAAGTCTTATGTTTCGGGTTGTGTCAATCCACTTAACATGCCTCAAATACCAGTAAACATGGACTAAAGGAAGTTTTAAACCTTCCTACATAGCTGAAAGGAAATGGCTATATATTAGGGTATTGACAGTAGATAGAAGAGTGTGTGGTCTAGTGGTTAGTAAACCAGCTTCTGAACCTGAAGTTCAGGAGTTCACACCCTAGCTGTTGTCACTCGCTCAAATTTCTTTTTTTTTTTTAACCTTCTCCCTGCTGCCTACCCCCCCATAGCCAACACAAATTTGGTGATAAAAGGCTACTTCAGCAGGAACAAATTTAAATTTTAGGTTACTACGATGAGAATTTAGAATAGTGGCTAAACATCTTTCTTGAAAATTTTTTGCTAGAAAGAAGGCCTTTGTATATGCATGTATCTGTGCAAGATAAGGTAGTGTCTATAACGGAGAGAAAGCTTATCAATTATTTGTTTAAAGTTAAAACTTTTGGTCCAACACAAAAAATTCTCTCACCTAGAGCTTTCAACCAGTCACTCTGGTCTTCCTCAATAGACTGACCCAGTGAAGGTTGTCACGTGGCTTCTTTGAAGTGTGACGTCAACACTCAACACTTATCAATTATTGATAATATACATGCAAGCATACAATGTACAATGTACATGTGTACAATCATGTACATTGTACCTGTGTTATCAAACAGGAGAAAGATGCCCCCTAGCGGATGGATTGTGAAGTACATTTTCAGTGCACTCTAATGAGTAATGATTGTTGTAAAGAAAATGTCATATCTCATTGATTCTCAATTTATTGTTAGCTAACAGAAAAAAATTCTGTAAGTTGTCATAACAACATTCAACCATCAGTATGACAATAGACTGGGATTCGAACTCTGGAACTTGAACCACATGTTGAAGCATTTTCAAGTTTGTCACTGTGTGTAGTGACTGTTGAATTTTTCCCTTACAGGAAATGTTGATGAAGATGCTTCAGCCGACTGCAATCTGCATATCAGCTGTACAGGTCAGTCAATATTGATAGTAAATAAATAAATAAACAATGGTAAATTTCAATAAACAAACACCTGTAACAAGCACAAGTGAAACTGGCCCAAAGGTTAATATTTTTTTTGATGCAGCTTGAGAGTTGAGTTTCTTTTTCTTGATGTAAGTTGTCATGATTTGTGTTATAAATGACTTCAGTCCCATACACACACATAAATGCACACACACACACACACACATACATGTGCGTGCACTCACACAGACACATGCGCACACACACACCAACACAATACCAAAATGCAAACAGACACACACTCTCACACACATACACTAAACTACACTCATACACATTGGCGCACTACTAAAATTTAGTGAAAAAAAACAAACTACACACACACACAAACACACAAACACACACACAGACAAGGTCACACATACACATACGCATACACATACATGCACATACTGTGATACACATAGTATTAATATTGCACATACACATACACACACACACGACACACAGCAAAATCAGTACTTCACTCCCTTAACTTGACATAATAAAACACTACAGTCCCTATATATATACATTGTACTTGTACCTTCACTAAGGTTCATTTTCTCCTTTGCAGAGTTACCGTGAGGGGAATCGAGCCAGTAAAATGTTCAACCACCTGTCAGCGTTCAGCGAGGCCATTCCTGCGCTCGGATGGGTCACCATGGTAAGGACAAACAAACAAACTCAAGTTCAGAGTTCGACCTCCGTTGCCAACACAAGCAATGTTTCAACTGGCTGGATTTTCAAGTAGCTGTTTGGTCTTCTTCAGTAAAACTGATCCACAGTTTATTTAGTACAAAGAATCAGTTTGAAAATTCAATGGTTGGACATTTCTTGTGTTGGATAGAATGTTTAAACTTCGATCCAGCCCGTTCTTGTACATTGTTTCTCTACCTCGTTCTATCTCATTTCTCTCCAGTGTTTCCTTCGTTGTTCTCCTCTTTCTAACTCCTCTCGGACTTCTCAGATTTATCCCATTTCTTGCTTGTTTCTGCATTTCTGCATTGTTTCTTTAATTTCAATGGCTCAGACTTCTCACAGGCAGACTTGTACTTTGGTTATATCATACATGTACATGTATGTATATAACTTAGTGTTGTGAAGGTTAAAGAAAATGATATTAACACAATGCCTGTGAGAGTTCTCTGGTGACTTTGCTTTGCTTATTGACTTTGACCTTGAACCTGTGCCATTGACCTTGACCTTTTGCCCCTGCTTTGTGTTGGATTCCGTCCCCTCCGCCATTTTCTCCTGGTTTGTGTCGATTTCACTAGAGAATCCCCGAGGCCAACGATCCGATGGGGGTGAGTTGGTGTGATGAAAACTAACGATTATTAGGCCACACCAATTTAATTTGTTGGTTCACGGATTCACCCGCTTCATTATTTTCTGATTTAAAAAAAAACATTTCAGCCTACGAATCAACTCCCAAATCTCATATTTTGGCCCCAATAGTTAAGTTAAAAGAGGTCCCTTTTCTTCAGAGTTGTACAGTTTTTCCATCTACATGTATCAATGCAGTGGTTTTATTAAAGGTTTGGAATTTAATGTTTGAATTACAAACTAGCCTGGTACATGTACAAATGTATGTTGACTTCAAGGCTCCTATCATGCCATTTTAGGCCATCATACATGTAGGATGCCTTGGTTTGGTCTGGTAAAATTTTTTTTTTTTTCACCCTGTCGCTTCATATATATTTCTTCTGAAAAAATCTTAGAACCAATAAATCAAATTGGTGTGGCCTTAGATGATGTCTCTTCCCACCACATGATTACATGCTGACAATTCCTCTGTCAGCTATGGACACTTTATTGAGGCTGCACCACAGTCAGGGCTTGAAATACTTTTTTTCGGCATATTTGCACTGATACAGAATGATACAGTATTTCCAGCCCTGTGCTTGGTGTGGTGAGAGTCTAGTTACTGCAGGCACTGTGGCCTTGTTGTGTTCTTTTTAAAGCATGTTAATTTTGCTCTGTTACTGTTGCAATGACTTTGCCTTGCATCTAACAGTTACAGATTGTCTGACATGTCCACACACCATTGCACGGTGCCTTGTTCATTTGCCAGATACATTTAGAAAGAAAATGTTTAGTAATACACACTTGGTCGATTGCCACTGGTTAATTTGTTTTCAAAATTTGTTGCTTCAAAAGTCAAGAATTTCAAATAATCACACTTGTTTCTTAACAACTTAAAGATGTACATTTTGTACATGTGTGAACAATGTTTTTGCAATATCTTAACAATATACAATATTCTAACCCTCTTGATTCATCTGCCCTTGCAAAATATAATTATGAGATTAACAGTTGATATAATTGGTGTATAACTGAAAGGATGTATCGTGTAGAGCGTAATTTGAATACATTCCCTCGTCAGAATCCGAAACCGGCGCCGTACGTGAAGGAAATGAAGGATGCTGGGATGTTCTACACCAACAGGGTCCTCAAGGACTTCAATAAAACGTAAGTATTTTATTTTTTTTACAATTTATTTGCACAAATAAAATAATAAAAAAAAAACAAAGAAATAAAAACAGTGTGCGGGAGGAGGAAAGAAGCCTGTAAGTACTGAGACTATTCTGTACAGCCGTGTTGCAATCAAATGTTTGTTTGTTTGTTTGTTTGTTTGTTTGTTAAGGATCTCCATTAGTGTGATTTTCACACTACTCTTCCTGCAGTCTGTAGTGAATAATCAGATTAAAGTATTTGGACCATCACACACTGGGGCATGCCCCTACTCTTTTTTCTAAAGGTGTGGTGGGTTCTTTAAATGCATAGGGTGTGGCTGTCCCCAAACACGGGACCTCCATTTAACGTTCTGTCCGAGAGGACATCTCTAACCAAAGCTAGGTACTCATTTTCACCTTAGTGAAGTGAGGAAAGTGCCTTTCCCAAGGGCACAAGATCAGTGACAAGGTAGGATTCGAACCCGGAACCTCTTAGTTCAAGGCCAAACACAGTACTGCTACTACTACTAGTACTCCACACGACCCCACATCTGTTAACGATAGTTTTAGGACAAAACACTTACGTCCTATGAAGCAAGTTTAAACTGCAATTTCCAACACAACAAATTGGACTCACCCAAATTTTCGACTGTACAACTCAAGGAGCTTTGTCAAGGAATGAGCAATCCACCGCTTCTGTGACGTCACGCAGATAACACACGTGACTCCGTGAGCAGTGGATCATAGGTTGCAGAAAGTCTGTGGCGCCCCCTGTCTCTGTTGAGGGATGGTTGTAAAGCTCTGATGTAGTTGGCCTCTTTAATCCTACTTCCATCCTAGGTTGCTAACCCTGGTACTTGACCTGCCTTTCCAGGGACAACCGGCATGTGGACTGGGCCAACAACTGGATCAAGACGTTGGTGCAGCTTCACGACTACGTCAAGGAACACCACACCACCGGACTGTCCTGGAACAAGGCTGTAAGAACCATCAAATAACACCCACCTCCATCTCTGATATATAACATTAAGGCCACACCAATTTAATTCGTTGGTTCTCAGATTTTTTCAGCAAAAATATGAAGCAACAGGGCAAAAAATAAAAAAAATAAAAACAGGCCTAGCCATCCTATTACAGCTCCAAATGATGCGGTAGGAGCCATGAAGTCAACATAAAAGGCTTGGTTAAGATTTGAACAATAAATTTTTAATTTTTAATTAAACTACTGCATTGACAGAATCTGATGTAAAAACTGTAAAAACTAGTTTCTTCAACTGTTGGGGGCAAAATATGAGCATTTTTTAGTTGATTCAGAATCTTTTTTTTTTTTTTGCAAATCAGAAAAAATGAAGAAGCAAATTCGAGAACCAACAAATGAAATTGGTGCGGCCTAACACCTGTTTCATTAATTGTGTATTTTTACAAGTTATGTGTGTGGATATCCTTTAAACTACATTGTACATGAAGAGGTATGGTCTTGAGTTTTATAGCAACTGTTGAAATCATTATGTTTACTGTTTTTGCTCTGTTTCCTCTTCTTCTTCTCCAAACCAAATGACCCAATGACCCAAACCCGATGTCTGTCACCATGGTAACTAATGTTGGGTTACATCATGCTGCAATTTAATAGCAGGAGGGATTTAGACTCCTGTAAATGGCTGATTGTGTTTGAGTAAGAATTAATAGAACAGGCCATATGCAAAGGCTAACATTATCATATGATTATGCATTTGCTGTGCAAATGTTACCTTTCTAGTTGATTTTGTATTTGTAGCAGTTTGGGGCTTGTTTAAACTATGGTCTTGAGTGTTATACATGACTGTAGTATAACTGTTGTAATCACTAAGTTACTATCTAAGACCATTCAGTTGTGTCACAGTACTTGAGTGCCACATAGTATAAGATGCAACTGCAGGTTTATTTTGGCTATAAGATGTTTCATTTACAAAATCTTAACGTCAAATCTTCATTCCTTTGCAAACCTACTAGTATTGCACTGGAGAAGTGTGAAGAGCTTGGCTTATGAAAGCATGTATGTGTATATACATATGTGTATATACATTGTTTGTCTTGTGTCTAATTCTTATAATATGTACATGTATTTCAATTACAAGTTTATAAGTGCTGTTTAATATTATGTACATGCAGGGCTTGAAATTCATTTTTGGAAATAGGTGCACCCAACCCAAAAAATTGGGTGCACAAAAATTTTTGGGTGCACCATATAAAATAAAATAAGTAGAATGTGAACAAAAACTGTAAAGAAAAGTACTACAACAACGATTTTATTATTTTCCTGATACTTCGATGTTAAGAATATACTGTATACTACTATCTGTTATAAATTCAACATGTTACATACATAAACCTACAAAAATGCACCCACAGAAAAAAATGGGTGCAAAGCTCCAAATTTGGGTGCACTAAGGTGCACATGCACCCAGTATTTTGAGCCCTGACATGTATACAGTACTATGGTACTCTGACAGTGTTTGTTCTGTTTTTTTTTCCAGGGGGTTCAGGCAACAGAACCAGCCCCTGCTAAAGCTCCGGCTCCCGCTGCCCCCGCCAAAGGTGGGGCACCCCCCTCCCCCTCCCCCCTGGGCCCCCCCTCCTCCCCCACCCCCTCCCCCTGCAGACCTCACCTCTGGTTCGGGGGGTGGGGACGACATGGCCGCTGCCAAATCAGCACTGTTTGCCGACCTCAACAAGGGAACAGACATCACTAAAGGTACGTGGGCTGTCATTGGACAGGACTTTCTTCATTAAAGGTATGGGGGCTGTCATTGGACAGGACTTTCTTACTTCACTTATGGTACGGGTGCTGTCATTGGACAGGACTTTCTCACTTCACTAAAAGTACATGGGCTGTCATTGGACAGGACTTTCTTACTTCACTTAAGGTACGGGGGCTGTCATTGGACAGGATTTTCTTACTTCACTAAAGGTACGGGGGCTGTCATTGAACAGGACTTTCTTATTTCACTAAAGGTACAGGGGCTGTCATTGGACAGGACTTTCTTACTTCACTAAAGGTACAGGGGCTGTCATTGGACAGGACTTTCTTACTTCACTAAAGGTACGGGGGCTGTAATTGGACAGGACTTTCTTACTTCACTAAAGGTACGGGGGCTGTCATTGGACAGGACTTTCTTACTTCAATAAAGGTATGGGGGCTGTCATTGGACAGGATTTTCTTCACTAAAGGTACAGGGGCTGTCATTGGACAGGACTTTCTTACTTCACTTAGAGTACAGGGGCTGTCATTGGACCAGACTTTCTTACTTCACTAAATCAGACCTATCCTAGCTTGTCTTCGACGAACGTTCTTTTGTTAGTTTCGTTACATGACATTTCAACTGGAAAGTTTTTAAGACAAGGTGTTAATCATGTATATCTTTCTAGAAACATGATGAAGGTTTGTGTCAATCTTCTTTTCTACCAGCAAGGATGAGTTAATGAGTTTTTTTTTTCTTGTTCCATTCCTTTAAAGGTCTGAAGAAGGTGACATCAGACATGCAGACCCACAAGAACCCAACCCTGCGGCAGACGGGTCCTGTCACCTACAAACCCGGCTCCGGCCCCAAACCTTACTCCAAACCCACCACAACAACCACCGGGCCACCCAAGATGGCGCTGGAAGGGAAGAAATGGAGTGTGGTACGGAAGAACTCATGATATAACATTGTCTTGTTGCATGTTACTAAATACTACATCAGGGTTTGAAAGACCGGTCCTTTTTTTTTCTCACGTTGCCCAGTAGGCAAATTAAGCCAAAAGCTTTCAAACTTGGTCCAACACAAGGAAGAAACTCACCATAAATTTTCGGCTGAACCCGTCAACCTTCGTCAGATGTGTGATGCAATCGCTGATCACTTTCCGGAAGCCAAAGTTCAAATTTATGGTGAGTTTCTTCCTTGTGTTGGAACAAGTTTGAAAGCTTTTGGCTTAGTTTGTTGGAACAAGTTTGAACTCTTTATAACTATGGATTCGGCAAACACAAATGAGCTTTCATTCGAAGCCAAAAGCTTGGTTGCCCATCAATATTTCAGGTTGCTGTCAACATGTGCACCTTTTGAAGGCAAGTTGTCAGCCTAGCCAAGATATCGCTCTGAGGGGGAACACAGTTTATTTTAAAAGCTGTAACTTCGAACCGCATTGGGCAACCTGGCAGCTCCAATAAGTCACACACAGATAGCATGACTTGATAGAGGGTATTTGGAACCCTGCTACATGATGTTGTAACACATAGGTGTTGATTTGTATAGAATATAGCATGTATGATTGAACAAGCCACCTAACTTGTGCAGTGTGATGCATTGTGGACTGATTAAACTGACAAGTTTAACTTCTAATTCTAATCCCTGCCCTTCCCCTATTCCCTCTCAATCTGCCAAATCTTTCATTTATTCCTGTCTTCCCTGTCTTTATCCTTTTTTATCCCTTCTGCTTTCTTTCTTTCTATCCATCCTACGTGTTTTCAATGGCCTTACTTCCATTCCTTTTTTCTTTTCAAAAGCATCCCTCTCCATCCCATTCTCTCAATCTGTCCATCCTCGTGCCCTTGTTTAACACAGTGACCAAAGTTTCCCCTCCCCCTCCTGACCATATGTATAATGATATAGAGGTGTGTGTGCATGTTGACTGTCTAACTGCATCCAGTGTTTGTTACTCCAAACCTCAGCCTGCAAAGGAGAACCCTCCTGTGCTTGAACTGAATGGCAAGAAATGGAATGTGGTATGTACTGCTGAACAGTCGGTTTTACGTAACACTAACTGCAAAGTTGAAGTACTGTAGTACTTGTCATATGAAATATGGTGTCTACAAGTCGCAAATTTTTAGCAGGGGATGAAAATGTCTCGTGACAAAAAAGTTTCATGGCCTAGATCTACACAAGTACATGTACTGATGCAATGTCCTTTTGCAATCCCCTTTTTGGTGTAAGAGAAAAAACAGACAGCTGTAAAGGAGGTCATGTAATGAAAAAATAAACAGAACGACCAGGTGTAGAAGGTATTTTATACTCCCTGACCTACTGGCCATGGGGACACACACACACACACACACACACACAGACATACCAAAAACGATACCAGTCCTCTGTTTTTCACAGAGGTAATTTATAATATTACTGACATTGTTGATGCTTTGTGTTCAGGAGTACCAGAAGGACAGGAAGGACCTGGTTATCTCCCAGGCAGAGATGAAGCACACTGTGTACGTGTACAAGTGTGAGAACATCACGCTGCAGATCAAGGGCAAGATCAACTCTATCACATTAGGTACATACATGTACATGTGTACAAGTGCACTCAGTATATGTAGTATAAATTACATGTATCTTAACATGACATTGACAGTTCATTTGTGTTCAACTTGGTAGAAATCATGATAGTAAAATGTTGAACTTTATTCCAACGCAAGGGTAACACAGATCAAATTTTCAACAATCACTTGCCTTCATCAGGATATTAAGTTATGACCAATCACTTCCGAACGTAAACTTGCAAGAGTTATGGTTACAGACACAGGACCGTATTCGCACGAAAATTTTTTCGGATACGTGACGTCAGCTATTGATCAAACGTGTGATTATGTTATCTTTCTTATGGATGTCAAGTTACTAAATTGCTACAATGCATAAGGAAACACACTTATACATAAGGCTTTGATTTTGAATCTTACTTTGAAAACCCTGAAAATAAATCCACTGCAACTCTATTATGATTTACAGAACTTGCCTTAGGCCACACCAATTTAATTTGTTGGTTCTCAGATTTTTTCAGAAAAAATATGAAGCGACAGGGCGAAAAAAATAAAAATAAAAACAGGTCTAGGCATCCTATTATAGCCCCAAATGCTACAATATGAGCCATGAAGTCAACAAAAAAGGCTGGGTTAAAATTCAAAGTATAAATTTTGAACTTTTAATCAAACCACTGCATTGATAGATGGAAAAAACTGTAACAACTAGGAAGAAAAGGAATTTCCTCAACTGTTGGGGGCAAAATATGAGCATTTTTGAGTTGAATCAGAACCAGAATCTTTTTTTTTTTTTTTGCAAATCAGAAAAAAATGAAGAGGCGAATCCGAGAACCAACAAATTAAATTGGTGTGGCCTTACTATAACACCTTGTTGTGTTTCCCCATGTTGTGATACAGATAGCTGTAAGAAGGTGGCTCTTGTGTTTGATGATGTCATCGCTTCAGTGGACTTCATCAACTGCCAGCGTATACAGGCACAGGTAGGTCAGAGGTCAAGGTCAAATACAAGTACATGTACACTTCTAGTCTTCAACTCAAACAGCTCGAAAGTTGAAAATAAAACCTTTTTTATGTTAACCTCTGCAGAAGGAAGTCATATGGTTTTTGCTTTGTTTCTTCTTTTCCTTCAAACACATGAAATAAAGTCAATGACCTGGACCAGCCGTCTGTCACCATGGTAACAGGTGCTGTAGCAGACACCCTGTTGTGTTGGATTACATTATGTAGCAATGGCAGGACACAGTTGGAGGGGCTGATCACTCTAGATATGTATGATTGCGTTTGAGTGAGAATAAACAGAGCAGTAGTTTGTTAGCCTACAATGTAAACCATGTGAGGGTGAACTTTGGAAATATTACCTTTCTAGATTCACCTGTTTTCTCACCTTTCCATTGTAATCTGCACAGGTGATTGGTAAGACGCCGATCTTTAACGTTGACAAGACAGACGGGTGTCAGATCTACCTGAGTAAGAACTCACTGGACACGGAGGTCGTCGGCGCAAAGTACTCGGAACTCAACATCCTGGTTCCTGACGACAGCGGGGAATTCGTGAGTTTGATATATCATTTTTTCATCATGTTCAAAGGAAACTATACATTGTATACTTTGTAGCGTCTGTGTGGTGTAGTGGTAGAGCATCCGACTGTCAAGCAAGGGGACCCAGGTTCAATCCCCAGGGATGGACCCAGATGGTGTGCCCTTGGGAAAGGCAATGTAAAGTGCCACCCCTCAGTTAAAGATATCTTTGGCCCTACTAGGGTTTGGGTTGCCGTTAGGAAGGCCATCCAGCCGTAAAAAATCTTGCTTCAAAAAAGACTTCCGCTTGATGCAATCACCAAAGCATGGATCTCTATTCATATTACAATGTCTCGTTTCAATATATTTTTATATGTATTGTGTGATTTTTTTCTATTCCAGACTGAATTCGCCATTGCTGAACAGTTCAAGACAGTCTGGGACCCCAAAACGAAGAAGATGAACACCGTTCCAACCGAGGTCGTAGGTTAAACAAACTCCATAACCCCCAAACACACCCTCAAATATACAGCTTAACTAGATACAGGCATCTTTTGTATGGGTATATTTGCATATACAAACTTATTTCTTAGGATAAATCTTTAATTCTCTACCATACAAAGTGGCGGTAAATTTTACAATTAAAAGAACACGTTACTCAGAAAACTTTCACTAAGTGCATTTATGTTAATTAGTTTTAATCTAGTCAAAAAATTGTACAACCTTTAAAGAGTGGACAAAAGATGAGGAAAAGTTTGGTTTTTCAGAGATGGAATACTGGAATGATATGCAAATTTAAGGCTCTTGTTTTCACAAATGTATGTATTGGATACCTGAATATGCAACAGTTACTGAAGATTGTCTCAGAATGGTACATTTCCACAAATTAAACTACTTTGTCACCTTAAAGCAATGTCTGTTTGCAGTTGATTTTTATGATCAATAATATATTATTTTTTATACTTTTGAGCAGTGTTCTAGCCAGCCTAAAATTTTTTCTGTCATCTTAATGTTTGATGTAACATCATACTGAAGGCACGGCAATCCTAGGGGGGTCTGTGTGCATGCTTCCTTGGGAAATTTTGAAATCTTGACCCTCTGAAACACTATTTCCTGTATTTTGACATTTGACGGGCAGATTTTGCTGGTAGACATCCCTTTACACCGATTTTTCCCTGTCAAAGACTGGGCAAAATTTTTGTCCATCATATTGCAGAGAATTCTGTTAAATGATGAAAAAACAGACAATGGCTAGAACACTGCTAATACACACTGTACATGTACAATGAACATTGTATTATGTAACATCATTACTTGCAAATGTTTGGACAAATGAAACCAAACTCACCTGGGCAAATTATTCTCCGGGTTTGGCTAAATTTGACTTTTTTTTCAGCCAGCATTTTTAGTCTGGTGGAGACTAAGAAAAAAAAAGTCAGGGTAATGACAAAAGCTGCTGGGGAAATTTGAAGGAAACTGCAATGAAACAAAGTCGGTTCTTTTCCTATGAAACTTGAACTTTTGAGACAAGTCAAGTGCAACACATGGACAACTCATTGTGTGGGTGAGTTACATGTAACTCTTCAACTAACCAGTGAAAACCTGTGTACCTTCTGTGCTGTATATATATATATATATGGCACATGGAGAGCAGTTAAGGTTGACAAGTTATCAATTAAACTGATGGTTACTCCCTGGTGTAGTATAGGGTATCAATTATAGCAAGATCTAGATGCAATACATGCCACTTTGAATTCTGATGCTGCCATACATGTCTACTTTCCAAATTTACCAGATGCATGTCACTTTGTACGTAACATATTATATACTACAGGTATTCAGTGATTTTTTTCCATTATCATATATGGTTAAAGCAGGTTAAAGTGAGTTCTGTATATGGCTCATGTAATTCAATGAGTTACCCCCAGTATGTGTTGGTTGAGAGGCTTGCATAGATGCTTGTTGAAATCCCACTTTTGACACCAGTTTAGTCTAGGGATTTTTTGCAACACCTTTAACTGCTGAGCAGTGGAATTTTTGTATACTCCGTACATAAACAGAAGTAAAATGAGTTGTAGACAAATGTTTTGTCTCATCGTGCATGATCAGTTCTGAATTGATGACATTTTAGAACTGTTACAAGAATTTGGCGGTCTTAGACCTCCGTGATATATTTATATCTTATGTGATGGTGACTGTGTCCTCTTCTCGTTCACAATGGTGTCTACAAGTCTTTATTTATCGTACAAGGGAAACAACACCAGCTGTCAAGGAGGTCATGTAATGAAAAACACCTGTAAGAACAGCGAGCTATACCGGATACAGACATGATTAATGACTTTCTGAACCAAACCATATCCATAACATGCACACACACACTCACAGACACACACACACATATCAAAAACAATACCACTTTTTTTTTTTTCACGGAGGTACATGTACATGTCATATAAAAACTGATCATACTAGCATTAGGTTTTGGTGTTTAAAAATGTTACAAGCACTAACAACAGGCGACACTATAATTCCGGACAGACACTCTAATTCCGGACTACCTCCTGGACAATTGACATTCCACATGGTGATGTAGAAGATGACAACAACTATGTAGATAACAGTGATAGTTCCCTAGGGATCATGTTATTTCTGCAGATTTCTGCAGAAATCTGCAGAATTCTGCGCAGAATTCTGCACCCCGCGCAGATTTCTGCACAGAAATCTGCGCTGGGCGCAGAAATCTGCGCAGAATTCTGCGCAGAAATCTGCTTTTTTAAAGATTTTGTACAATACTGTCCTACAAAATGTATCATTATGGTGATAGGTGGTAGATTTACTCCCCTACAAATGCTACTATCAGGTTACGTGTATTTTGGGCATAACTTGTCGGAAATGCATTGGCTTTTGTCCTGGGGATAGCTTTGCACTGTATGCTGTTCTTTTCCTTTCATTTCTTGAAAAAAATTGTGATCTTCAAAATTATTTATGAAGTAAAACAATTCTCCAAAAAGTAATGATGGGCTACACATTACAGACTAGGACATACAATGTAACAGACAGCTTGTTTGAGCTCGTTTGAGCAACATTGTGTATACAGGCAAGCATAAGACCAGATCCTGTAACCAGTTAGCCTAAGTGTCAGCCTTTTTAGCTTTCGTCTACTCCCCATTATATGCTACCCATAGAGTGTGGGGAGCGGATGAAAGCTACAAAGGCAAATGGCTCTGGCTAGTAACCAGCAGTATCAGTTGAATGAACCATAAGGGAAATTCCATTGACACACAGGGCGAAGATTTCTGCAGAAATCTGCAGAATTCTGCAGAAATCTGCAGAATTCTGCACAGATTTCTGCGCAGAAATCTAAATTATTACAAAGATTTCATACAATACTTAGAAATTGTCCCACAAAATGTATCATTTGTCCCTACAGATGTTACTACAATGTACTAGGTTATTTTGGGTAAAAATTGTTGGAAATGCATATTATTGGCTTTTGTTCCACTTCATCACAACCCAATTCCATTGGCATTGAGATAGCTTTGCACCATACTTTGCTTTTTACCTTTTGATTTAGGCCTAGCAACTTCTAATATTTACCTTATAGAAAACTGTTTTTAAAAATACAATATATCTACAACTGATTTGTCACTTTATAGCCTTGGAAGAGCTTGGACATGATCTTAGCAGTAATACTACTTTGAAACCCAGTATTTTTGTGTTCAAACAGTGGACAACTTACCCTTGGAATAACTTGTCAGCAAGGTAGCCTGGGGTTGCTACTGGGTTTGTTTGACAATTTGATTTGCCCCACCTCCACACTTATCCAAACAAATTCTGGGCTCTTAATCTAAGCCTTCACAGTAAGGGTCCAGAGAGCCCCTCCTGCACACCAAACTGTAATCACTACCACATGTTTTCCATAGCTTATTTATCTAGCCTATAGAGGAGACTAGTCTCAGGAGAACAACCTTCTGCCTGTGTAAGTTGTAACCCAACCTTTTGTCTGGAGCCTGTTTAGGGGGGCTGAAAATTAATCAGGTTCAATCAGGCTACAGTATACACACTTACAGTACATGGATGAGAAAATGAATTTGATTTTACCTGTAGGTTATCAAAATCATTTCTTTGCCAGTTGTTACTAATGTTAGGGTACCCCATATATTTCCATTTGGTAAGAGATTTCTTTAAAAATATTGAGTTAAAAATTCTCCACAATATGATGATATGCTACACACATCCCAGACTAGGATGTCTTGTTTGAGCTACAGTATGCAGGCAAGTATGAGACCAGGTCCTGTAACCAGCCTTTTTAGCTTTGTCCATTCCCAGGCTTGTAACCAGCAGTATCAGTTGCATTGAACCACAAGGGAAATTTGACATTCCATTGACTGGTCACCCAGGGGTCAGGAGTATCTTTTTTCCTGTTTTATGTCCTGACCTTTATACACTGTGCCAGTTTCGTAAGAATCTGTTGTTGCAGGGGAAGATACGTAGCAAGTCTAAATGTTGGAATTTTTTATGCAAGAATTGTTTGCTGTTATGAAGGTGTCAGTAGTCACAGTGCAGAAAGTCTACTTCTACATGTACTTCTAAGACCCCTTCTAAAGTAATCTCGAGAAAATTTTCTATACATAAGCTTTCTGTGCACAATGTTCCAACCTACTCAAGGTTCTAAATGATGTCTGGTCCCAGATGCATCACAACAGTCACTGCAACTACAATTGACATTGCGAGAAAGAATATTAATGTTTTTGCCTGCTATCAAGGACTACGTTTCTGTCATGAAAAAAGACATTATCTCTCCTACTAGCCTGATTAAATCGCTTTTGCCGGCCGCCCAACATCCAGCCGGTGGCGGACTATGTAGGGACCCCCCCCCCCGCTGGGTTACATAGGGATAGGCTACTCTCCTACTTGTTCTTACCCTGGAATCCAAACTCGTTTTCCGGGCCACAAGAGCCCTTCGCCCGCTGGTGCAAATTACCGCTACGGTGAAGTCTAGCCCGGGGGAGTTTGGCTGGCC